AGAAGCTCCCAGAAGGAAGCAGATTAGAAGACTATGGAAGGAACCCGAGGCTCCCAGTGTGACAGCAGCCAGTATGTGAAGGGTGAATGTTTCACAGTGAAACTGCTGTTGCATTATTAAGTGGAAAAGAAGAGCACAGGTATGAGGCCTGATGTTCTTGGTAACCTTCAACAAAGGAAGGCCCACCAGTATGGAAGACCACCAATGCTACAGGTGAGGGAAATGTTAAGCTTGGGATTGCTCCTGGGAAAGGAAGCAAGGTCTAACTTACAAGAAGAAAATCTAGTACTTCCGATGCTCCACTCTGTTTTGTCTCAACTGAAGCATCAGGTAGGGGTGAGGAGAGATTGAAGTGAGGTTGGCTGACTCCAACAGAGGCAATGAGGATCACAGAGGATGTGAGTGTGCCTGAAAAGAAGCCAGATGCCTCTGGCAGACCAACATTAAGTTAGAGTCTCTGTTCTGTAGCCAGAGATGTAAGGAGCTAAGGGGAAATTTTTCTTTTAACTGGAATTAACGTCAACAGAATAGATAAAAGATCATTACAGGAGTCCATCTCGTCATCAGGAGCCCCACCTTTTCCCATTTCAGAGTCTTCAGGGGCTCTCATAACCAAAATCTACTCTATATTTACAAATGGTCTTCTCTTCTCTTGCAGCCTCATAACCAGCTTGAGTTGGACCTGAACCTTATTTAGAGTTCAAACATTTCTTTTTTCCCACAAGAAACTGCCTAGCACTTCTGCTACATCACCTAAGTTATGTGACAAGCCTGCTTGGTGATCTTTTTACATCTCTGGACTCAACTTCCTGAGGCCATGGTTGTGCCTAGTTGTGTATCCTCAACTCCTGAGGCAGTGCTTTTTAGATAATGGTTCTTGAATGGGAGGATGGTGAATTATTTTTATCAGGCCATTTCTCTGATGCCTTAGCTCACATTATAAAGAATCACTACTACTCTGGGTACTTAGAGATTTCCTTGGATATTTGGAAGGGCAAGTATTATTTAGGCTGCACTCTGGTATGACTTTCCAGGGTATGGGCATACTTGGAAAACTGACAGCCCCTGGACATTCCCAGGACCAATGAGTGCTAGGTATTGCAGTACATGAACATAGATGGACCTGACATTGGTGCTGGCATACACAGCTATGCATGCCTCATGTATGGATGCATCTCCCTGGCTGTCTTAGTTTTAGTTTCTTTTGCTGTGAAGAGGCACCATGACCACAGCAACTCTTATAAAGGAAAACATTTAGTTTGCTGGCTTACAATTTAGAGGTTTAGTCATGAGACCTCAAAGCCTGCCCACACAATGACACAGTTCCCACAGCAAGGCCACACCTACTCCAACAAGGCCACACCTCCTAATAGTGCCACTCCCTGTGGGCCAAACATTCAAACCTGTGAGTCTATGAAAACAATACGTATTCACACCATCACACTGGCCTTTTGTCTTTGTGTTTCCCCTTTGTCCTATGTCACCAGATAATCTGTCATACCTTCAGAATCACCTGTCTCAGCTGTCCCTTTGCTCTAGTTCCATAGTCTGAGTTTTCATGAGACTCTGACTGGCTAGAATGATTAACTCTTTTCAACCCTGGCTAGGCTCTACCTTTCACAGAGGTAGAGGAATATCTATTGATCTTACCACAGTATCCCCAGAACCTAACAGAGCTATACACTGTGTTCTACATTAACCAAAGGAACCAGCAAACTATGAGATTCCATTTTCTCATTTGTTTAAAGTCCATACATATAGTCTTTAACAAGGTCATTGCTAAGGTTCACACCCTTTAAAGATCTAGGAGTTAACTTTTCATAACTTTTTTATTTATAATAATTATTTACATATATGCTTGGCAACTCAAATGATACAAAATGGAGGCACATTCAGTCCTTCACATGTGATCATAAACATTAAACATTCTTTACCTTCATTTCTAGAAGAAGAGCTGAACAAGATGCAATAACTCAGAGTTGAGAGGGTCGATAATGTGGTAGTTTTCATTTTCCTTGCCCATAGTTCCCATGAATCAGCATTCATATTTCAGTTCTGGAAAACTGACATGTCTTAATGGGGAACTTCCATGGAGGACTCCACGCTGAGAACAGGTGGAGCTAAAATCCCATTAGGACCGTGCTAATTTACAGCTGCTAGATGGAAAGATTTTGTTATTCTCGTTGGGCCTTTGTCTCCATTATTGGCCATTCGGCTCACTTTCAGGGATTACTTAATGGAATAGTAGTTGGGAAGGAATAATCTGAAAATATATGATCTTACAAACACTTTTAAAAATTTAGTTTTTAACAATTAATATTTGATGGCCTGGAGAGATAGTTCTGTGGATAAGAGTACTTGTTAACTCTTCCAGAGTATCCTGGTTCAATTCTAAGCACACCTGTGGTGATTCACAACCATCTAAAATTCCAGTTCCCAGGGAACGTGATATTCTCTTCTGACTTCTTCTGGACTACAGGCATGCACATTGTTCATATTCTTGCATGAAGGAGAATATTCACACAAATAAATAATAAAAATATTTTGAAATTTAATTTTTGCCTAAAGACTTTCATTATAAAAAGCACCTTCATGTTCAGAACTTGTTTCTGCTACTGGTTTGTCATGGATGAGGAAAATGACTAAAGGACTTGGAACTTACAGAATCTTATTAGAAATTTGTACCTTTCTACCTTCACCTTGTGGAGGTAGAATTATCTATGCATGAGCACTTCAAGTCCCAACAAATTTTACTCTCAAAAACATGAATACTCATGTTTTTCTCACTAATTTAACTGTAAAGAAAATCTACCTTTGTATATGTTCCAGTTTTTTTATCCCAAAGAGAATGTGAAAGCGGTTAGCGTGTGTGTGTGTGTGTGTGTGTGTGTGTGTGTGTGTGTGTGTGTGTGCGCGCGCGCGCGCGCGCGCGTGCTCGTGTGCGCGCACTCCCACGTGCACATGAATGTTGCTAGAACATACAGCTGATTGCTGCCTAAGAGTGCTTACAAATAAATAAGTTCATTTTTTTTAAAGTCAGTGTGCTAAAACTATAGTCTTCTATTCCGTAAGTTACCATAGCTTAATTATAGTGTTATTTGAGGTCTGTCGTGAGTGACTTTGGTCATGGGTAACAGGTAGTAGCAGAGTCATACTACTATCCCCTTGAATGGGAATGTAAGTGGGAGAAGAGCAGTGGCAGGCTTATGCTGCTCTCGACATAGCTTGCGAAGTGGCTCAGGGCTAGACTTGGAGTCAGAGTGAGGCCCACATTATCGACTTTTCCCATCTTCCTGACAATCAAAATTGTTTACTGACAGTGGCTTGCTTAAGTAGGCAGCTTGTTCCAGATGGAATCCCTGAGCTATAAATTCTAATGAATTCAAATGTGAAGAGGCTTACATGAACCTGAATTGGTATTTGCCAAAATGATGAATGCCTATTTTAATATTATCCTGATTATACAAGTTAAGTAATGGAACAGTACTCAATACCATGCATGCATCCACACCCTCTGTTTAGGTGACTCACTTGCAGGACTCCACCTCCCCTCTGCATTCCAAAGGAGGGCCATTCATTAAGTCTTGTGCTCTAAGGAGGTGGCAATATGAGACAGGTAATACAGCAACATTCTCTCTAAACTCCTCTTTCCTATTTCCTTTTCTTATATGGCATTAAAGGGACAATTGCAGTCATGTTATGTGCTTATTTCTATTTTTATAATATACAGATAGATGATAGATAGATGAAAGACAGATATAAGATAGATAGATAGATAGATAGATAGATAGACAGATAGACAGATATGTCACTTCTGACTGTGATAAAATACCATAAAGAAAGCAGGGTTTATTTTAGCTAATGGTTTCATGGATACAGCCATCCCCTAACTAGACCATCCTAAGGGTCACTTTCTCCAACTAGGCTCCATTTCCAAAGGTTCCATATCTTTCAAAAAAGTCCTAGTTGGGGTACCAAGTATTCAAATACAGTGGGGCTTTCTTCACACTCAAGCTATGTCCTATTAGGAATAATGTGCTAGTAATTATGTTAACATTTATAATGTGGCAAAAAATTCTACACAATTATTGCAAATACTAAAATATCTACAAAATAGACACTATGTCCCATTTTACATATCTGAAAAACTGTGGCTTAAAGTCACAGGGCTAATAAATAACAGAAGTGGCTAGGTTTTAAACAAAATTTAAAGAGTTCTAACAAGTGTCAAAGTGCACATTCTTTTAAAAATAATATTAATAGTTACAATAAAGGTTACCAAATAGTTGTGTACATAAACTTGCAAGGTATTGGTAACTACTGAAGAAAAGTGTGTGGGAAACTGAAGATCAGAGACTCTAAGTAACCGGCTAATATTATGTAGCACGTAAGAGATTCTACATCTGAGCCAATTTGATCTGGTCACAGAACTTTATTTATAGGCTGTCAACACCTATTGGGAATTGTGAACGTGGCAATTGTGAACAAACTAGGCAAAACTGGAAAGTTAGGGAAGTGTGGAGAAGAAAAGCTGAGGATAATTTTAAGTGGGTGTATTAGGGTTTCTATTGCTGTGATGAAAAACTGTGGCCAAAAACCAAGTTGGGGAGGGAATGCTTTATTAGGCTTACACTTCAGCATTGCTGTCATCACTGAAGGAAGTCAGAACAGGCACTCAAACAGGGCAGGATCCTGGGGGCAGGAACTGATACAGAGTTCATGGAGGGGAACTGCTTACTGGCTTGCTTCCCATGGCTTGTTCAACCTAACTTCTTATAGAATTCAGGACCAGCAGCCCAGGGATGGCACCTCCCACGATGAGCTGACCCTTCCCCATTGATCACTAACTGAGAAAATGCCTTACAGCTGGCTCTCAAGGAGGCATTTCCTCAGCTGAGGCCCCTTCCTCTGATGACTCTACAATGTGTGTCAAGTTGACACACAAAACCACCCAGTACAGTGGAGTTCATGGCAAGTGTGATGTTTTGTTTCTTTTCTAGGTGCCAGCTTCCTCTGCTGCAACCAGCAAGTTTCCCAGTATGAGTACCACAGAAGCTAAGGTAAAGTACCTTCAAAGGGCAACCTAACAAATGCCACTTTAAATTAATTGTGAGTAGTGTGCTTGTTGACAGATGGATTCCTTGTCTTAGGAAACTCACATTCTGGAAGTCAGCATCTTCTTCCTGAGTTGAAAGCTTGTGCAAATCCTCCTCTAAGATGTTTCTGTTGTTTCAGAGTCTTTCAAATGTTTCCTTGCTAGATTTTCCCCCTTGATTACATTTTTGAAAAGAAGAGAGATAATCTCTCTGAGTACATTCCTCTGGAACTGAGTGATATAGGGATTCTAGCTTCTTGATAACAGTGGTAATATTTTGGTAGACATTTAGAATTGAAAAAGCTTATACTCAGTGACCTAAGTGACCACAGAAGCAAAGGAAACAGATATAGGTTGTTTGAGATGCTTTCTGATATGTGAGACATGGAGGAGAATATTGTCTCTATGACAAGCTCCTTAGAACTCTGTTGGGTATTTGTTTTTATATTTATCCCTCAGAATTTCAGAAGAATAAAAGAAGTGTAGTTGCTACATAGAGTGAGCCCAGTTCTGACAGACAACTGAAGTTGCCTTAGCATCTAACTCACCTTAGTTAATGTGAGTCAAACTGTTTCTCAGAACTATTTCCGGGTAGACATTAAAGAGGAGGCATTTGCAAAATGTTCTCAACTCCTTTGTGTGTTCTAATATTCGATTGCATTGAGAACTCCCAGCTCTTATTATCAAATTATTTTATCTACAGTTTCCAGCTTATGTTTGTTGTCTGTGTTTCCTGACACTGTGCTGTCTCAGCAGTTTCCTGTTCCAGGAGACATGGCAGCATGAGTTATTACCAGGGATCCTCTTGCCTTGTCTTGAATTAGGAGAGTGAAAATAATCTGGGAGTGTTCATTTACCTAAGTTTTATAAAACTTAGCTTTAAATTTTATTATATTTCTCTGACAGTTTTATTTAATATTTTTACCTTCATATTAATTTCTTTTTTTCTTTAAAAACAATCATTTTACATGTCAGTACCCATGTTCCCTCTCCCTCCCATGCTCCCATACCCCTACCAACCCCACCAACATGTCCCCCAAACACTCCACAAGGACAGTGAGGCCTTCCATGGGGGAATATTCAAAGTATGGCACATCTTTTGGGGGAGGTCCTAGGCCCTCCTCCCTGTATCAGGGCTGAAATAGTATCCCTCCACAGGGAGTGGGCTTCCAAAGTCCATTTGTGCACTGGTTCCATTGCCAGAGGTCCCACAAACTGCCCAGGCCTCCTAACTGGAACCCACATTCAGAGGGTTTGATTCAGTCCAATGCTGGTTCAGTCCAACTGGGGTCTGTGTGCTCTCACGAGGTCAGGTCATCTGGTTTTGTAGGTTTCTCTAGTGCAGTCTTGACCCCTTTGCTCCTCTCTCCTCCCTCTCTACAAGTGGATTCCAGGAGTATGGCTCAGTGCTTAGCTGTGGGTGACTGCTTCTGTTTCCACCAGCTACTGGATGAAGGCTCTAGGATGGCATATAAGGTGGCCTCTCCACTACTGCCTACATTCTTAGTTGAGGTCGTCTTTGTGGATATCTGGACATTTCCCTAGTGCCAGATACCTCTTTAAACCTATACTGGCTCCCTCTATTAAGGTATCTCTTTTCTTGCTCTCCTCTATTCTTGCCCTGTCTCAGTCTTCCTGATCCCTCTTGTTCTTCTCCCCTTCTCTTTTTTGCTCCCTCCCTCCCCTCTCTCCCTGTTCTCCCAGTTTGCTCAGGAGATCTTGTCCCTTTCCCTTTCTTCAGAGGACCATGTATTTTTCTATTAGGGTCCTCCTTGTTTCCTAGTTTCTCTGGTGGTGTGCATTGTAGGCTGGTAATGCTTTGCTCCATGTCTAATATCCATATATGAGCGAGTACATACCATATTTGTCTTTCTGTGACTGGGTTACCTCACTCAAGATGGCTTCTTCTAGTTCCATCCCTTTGCCTGCAAATTTCAAGATTCCATTGTTTCTCCCCCCCCCCCCCCCCCCACTGAGTAGTACTCCACTGTGTAAATGTACTACATTTTCTCCATAAATTCTTCAGTTGAGGGGCATCTAGGCTGCTTCCTGGTTCTGGCTATTACAAAAATGCTGCTATGAACATAGTTGAACGTATGTCCTTGTATGTATGTGCTTCTTTTGGGTATATGCCCAAGAGTGGAATTGCTGGATCATGATGTAGAATGATTCCCATTTTCCTGAGAAACAGCCATATTGATTTCCAAAGTGCCACACAAGTTTGCACTCCCACCAGCAATGAAAGAATGTTCCTGTTGGGGAACCTGTAGCCACGCCTGCTTAGGGGCTGGCTACAGGTCTGCCTACATGTTCCCCTTTCTCCACATACTATCCAGCACAGACTGTCATTGGTGTCTTTTATTTTAGTCATTCTGGCCGGTGTAAGATGGCATCTCATAGTTGTTTTGATTTGCATTTCCCTGATGGCTAAGGATGTTGAACACTTTCTTAAGTGTCTTTCAGCCATTTTAGATTCCTCTACTGAGAATTGTCTATTTAGTTCTGTACCTCACTTTATATTTCTTTTTTATTATTATTATTTTATTTTAGAGGCACTCATATTTACATATCAATCCCCCCCCATTCCCTCCCATGTAACCCACAAATCCCCCCAACCCAGCCCCCAACTCCTCCCCAGGGATAGTGAGGCCCTCCACGGGGGACCTTTAAAGTCTGTCACATCATTGTCCTCTTTCTTGTATCTGGGCTGCAATAGTATCCCTCATAGAGAATGGGCTCCCAAAGTCCATTTGTGCTCTAGGAATAAACACTGGCTCCACTGTTAGAGGTCCCATAGACTGTCTTGGCCTCCTAGCTGGCACCCACATTCAGAGGGCTTGGTTTAGTCCAATGCTGGTTCCCCAGCTTTACAACAAGAGTCCACATGCTCTCACTAGGTCAGGTCAATTGTTTCTTTGGGTTTCTCCAGCACAGTCTTGGTACTTTGCTCATTCCTCCTCCCTCTCCACAATTGAATTCCAGGAGTATGGTTCAGTGCTTAGATGTGGGTGCCTGTTTCTGTTTCGATCAGCTACTGGATGAAGGCTCTGGAATGGTAACCAAGGTAGTCATCAATCTCATTATAGGGGAAGTGCATCAATTGCATCCTCTCCACCACCACCTGGATTTCTTAGTTGTGGGTCATCCCTGTGGATCCCCTAACATTTCCACTGTACAGACATCTCTCCAAACCTTTACTGTCTCCCTCTATTAAGGCATCTCCTTTCCTGCCCTCCTTTATTCCTCCCCTGTCTCAGTCCTCTTGTTCTCTTCCCCCCTGCCCTTCTTCCCCTCCCACCTCCTTTCTCTCCCCTCACCCCCGGCTCCCACTTTGGTCAGGAGTTCGTGTCCCCATCTCCTTCTTCGAGGGACTATGCAATCTTCTCTTGGGGTCCTCCTTGTTTCCTAGCTTCTCTGGCAGTGTGGATTGCAGACTGGTAATCCTTTACTCTATTTCTAAATATCAAAAATGAGTGAGCACATACCATGTTTATCTGTTTGTGATTGGGTTACCTCACTTAGGATGGTTTCTTCTAGTTCCATCCATTTGCCTGTGAATTTCAAGATTCCATTGTTTTTTTCTGCTGAGTAGTAATCCATTGTGTAAATATACCACATTTTCTCTATCCATTCTTCAGTTGAGGGGCATCTTCGCTGCTTCCAGTTTCTGGCTATTACAAATAATGCTGCTATGAACATAGTTGAACATAATGTCCTTATTATATGAGTGTACATTCTTTGGGTATAGGCCCAAGAGAGGAACTGCTGGATCTTGAGGTAGGCTGATTCCCAATTTCCTGAGAAACCTCCTTACTGATTTCCAAAGTGGTTGTACAAGTTTGCACTCCCACCAACAGTGGAAGAGTGTTCCTCTTTCTCCACATCCTCTCCAGCATAGACTGTCATTGGTGGTTTTGATTTTAGCCATTCTGACAGGAGTAAGATGGCATCTCTGAGTTGTTTTGAGTTGCATTTCTGTGATGGCTAAGGATGTTGAGCACTTTCTTAAGTGTCTTTCAGCCATTTTAGATTCCTCTGTTGAGAATTCTCTATTTAGTTCTGCACTCCACTTTTTAATTGCATTGTTTGGTGTTTTGGTGGCTAGCTTCTTGATTTCATTGTATATTTTGGCGATCAGCCCTCTTTCGGATGTGGGGTTGGTGAATATCTTTTCCCATTCTGTGGGCTGGCGTTTTGTCTTGCTGACTGTGGCATTTGCCTTACAGAAGCTTCTCAGTTTCAGGATATCTCATTTATTAATTGTCGATCTCAATGTTTGTGCTACTGGTGTTATGTTCAGGAAGCAGTCTCCTGTACCAATTCGTTCCAGGGTATCACCTACCTTCTCTTCTAGGAGGTTCAGTGTGGCTGAATTTATGTTGAGGTCTTTGATCTATTTGGCCTTAAGTTTTGTGCATGCTGATAGATAGGGATCTATCAGCAAACTTCTACATGTCCCAAGCCAGTTATGCCAACACCATTTGTTGAAGATGGTTTCTTTTTTCCATTGTATAACATTAACTTCTTTGTCAAAAATCAGGTGTTAGTAGTGTGTGAGTTAATATCAGGTTTTTCAATTGATCCCATTGGTCAGCCTGTCTATTTTTGTGCCAATGTCAACCTGTTTTCAGGACTATGGCTCTATAATAGAGCTTGAAGTCAGGGAAGGTGATGTCTCTGGAAGTTCTTTTATTGTACAGGGTTGTTTTGGCTATCCTGGGTTTTTTGTTTTTCCATATGAACTTGAGTACTGTTCTTTCAAGGTCTGTGAAGAATTGTGTTGGGATTTTGATGGGAATTGCATAGAATCTGTAGATTGCTTTTGGCAAGATTGCCAATTTTACTATGTTGATCCTACCTATAAAGAACACAGGAGATCTTTCCATTTTCTGGTATGTTCTCTAAGTTCTTTCTTTAAAGACTCAAAGTTCTTACTATACAGATCTTTCATGTTTTTGGTTAGTGTTACCCAAAGTATTTTATGTTCTTAGTTGCTATTGTAAAGGGTGATGTTTCTCTGACCGTTTTCTCAGTGCATTTATCATCTGAATATAGTAGGGCTATTGGTTTTTATTTGAGTTCATCTTGTATCCTGCCACTTTGCTGAAGGTGTTTCTCAGCTGTAGGAGTTCCCTGGTAGTTTTTCAGGGCACTTATATAAACTATCATATCATCTGCAAATAGTGAAAGTCTGACTTCTTCCTTTCTAATTTGTATCCCCTTGATCTCCTTTTGTTATCTTATTGCTCTAGCTAGAACTTCAAGTACAACATTGAAGAGATATGGAGAGAGTAGACAGCCTTGTCTTGTTCCTGATTTTAGAGGAATCACATTGAGTTTCTCTCCAATTAGTTTGATATTAGCTGTTGCTTTGCTATGTATTGCTTTTATCATGTGTAGGTATGTTCCTGTTATTCCTGATGTCTCCAAGACTTTTGTCATGAAGGGATGTTGAATTTTGTCAAAGGCTTTTTAAGCATCTAGTGAGATGATCATGTGGTTTTTCTTTTTCAATTTGTTTATTTAGTGGCATACATTGATGGATTTTTGTATGTTGAACCATCCCTGCATTCCTGGGATGAAGCTAACTTGATCATGGTGGATGATTTCTTTGATGTGTCCTTGGATTCAATTTGCCAAGATTTTGTTGTTTTTAAGGTCCTTCTCTTCTGCTTTCCCTGTGTTGGGATGCTTGGATCTTGCTTCTGTAGAGTCCCTATTGTCCTTACTGTTATTGACTGTGTTCTTAAACTGTCATTTTCCCATCCCTTCTTCCAATGCGTGCAGGTGGGGTCTCTCCCTCTCCTCTCTCCCAGTGAGTGTAGGTGGGCCAAGACTTTGATGTCAGCAACTCTGAATGGTCTAGCCTCTCCTTGTGTTCGCTTCAAACAGAGGGCTTGGGGTGGGCAAGACTCAAGCTCAACTAATGCTGAGGGCATAGGGGGTGCAAGATTCTGATGCATGCAGACTCTGAATGGTCTGGGCTGATGGTATGGGTCCACTATATGGGGAGCAGACCCAGGAATTCCAAGGAGGGAATGGAGGGAATTGGGCCTAGGCAGAACCCAGACTCACCTCAATTGGAGAACATAGCGGGGCCAAGACTTCAATGTGGGCAGACTCCAGAGAGTCCAGGCTGCTGGGCATGTTTCCTACATGCTGAGCAGACCCAGGAAGTTCCAGGAAGGGTCTGAGGGGAGTTGAGCCTTGGTGGAACTCAGACTCACCTTAAGCAGAGGGCATGGGGGGGGCAAGATTTCGATGCTGGCAGATTCCAGAGAATCTGGGCTGCCGGGGCAGGGTTACTATACACTGAGCAGACCCAGTCATATTAATTTTTAACCATATTAAAATATTGACTATACTATCTATTAGTAACCAATTGTCATTTGTTTGATTATTTTTAAAATATAAATATTTGTAATGCTGGGAATTGAACATAAGACCTTGAGGCTTCAAGGGATATTCCTAGCTTCCTCAATCTATGTTAATCTTGAAAGAATAAAGAAGGTATCTGTTCAAAACAAAATGCAAAATAAAATCCCATTGGATTTGCCATCAATGCTGGGGAAGAAAGACATATGGGCTGTTTCTACTGTTTTGGTTCATGTAGCTGTAGCCCAGGTATGATCCTGTGTTTCACCTGAGGGCCAGTGCTTATTTCCAAGTGCCATGGTTTCCAGAGCAAGTATCAGCAATCCTTGGGCATCACAAATCATCAAAATGAGAATTTCTGGCAGTCAAAACAAGCAAACAAAACTTTGGAAGAAGAAGGAACATGGGAGGTAGAAGAGTGGGCTGGGGACAAAGAATGAGACACATATGAGAAAGCATTGCCATTGACAGATTTAGACCATTTTTTGGCCTCTATTGTCTTTCCTTGGTGTGTTTCAATCACACAGCTCTCAATCATGGTATTTTCATTGCTCTGCTGTTATCATGTTACACAGTAAAGATTGTAGTAGCCTCCTCTTGGAGGCTTCAGGACCTTGAGCTTCATAGGTTCAGGTCTGCAAATACTTTGAACTTTTAGTGGAGAGTTGCTAATTCAGGGAAATAGCAATTACAGATCCTTGTTTTGTTTCCATTTTTCAAGTAGGCCAGACTCTCTATGAAGGGTATTGTATGTCTAGACTTGTGTTATGTATTCCTTGACCATGGAATGTTAAATTGGTTTTCATACCATTGCTTGTAGGATGGAAGGTCAGATAAATTGTAGTCAAGATGTAGTTCCTGAGAATCTGTGCATCATAGACACTGGAGCCAGACAGAATAGCTGAGAATCTATTTCTTTACCAGCCATAACACTGAACAGCCCCTCTTTGTTTCAGTTTCCTTATCTGTGCAATGTGAGGGAACATGATAATAGCACCCATTTCAGATGATTACATAAGGAAACAAATGGTGAACAGTGCCTATTCCAAAGCCAATGCCCACTATGAATGAGCTGCTGGCCAGTAGAGAGACCATGCAGCCCTGTAACTGACTCTACAACTCTAGCTCCATCATACACTCCTCTTGGGACCTTATTTGATATTTTAGGTTTTGAATTATTTACTGAAAAGAGATATAATAAAAACACTATCTCTGAGAGTCATGGCACATAACAATAGAGCTGATAATTGAACTTAGGAAAAGGTCCTGGTACCCCTGAGCTGATGGATAGGCCCAAGTGCCTTACTTTTCCCCTTAGGATTAAGTTTGGTACCATCACTACCAAAATAATTTTTGTTATAGATTTAAATGTACATTAAAAGCTTCTTAGGTCTGAATACACAGTGTTAATTGTAGTTTAAAGTTTTCCCAAGCAATATCTTGATCACCAAATTGTGAATTCCAAGCTATTGATAAATTCAAATTATGATACTGTTGGCTGGCTTATTTCCTTTGTTAATTATTTAATAAATTGCATTTGTGTAAACTAAAAGGAGAGCCAGGTGGTGGTGGTGCACACCTTTAATCCCAGCACTCAGGAGGTAGTGGTAGGTGGATCTCTGTGAGTTCAAGGTCACCCTGATCTACAGAACAAGTGCCAGGACAGGCTCCAAAGGTACACAGAGAAACCTGTCTTGAAACACAAAACAAAAACAAAAACAAAAATAAGAGAAGGAGATTCACAAACAGAGGAACACAAACAAGAATTCATTAGCAAAGAAGGGAACCCAAATTTCTTTAGAAGCATTCAATAATGAACTTAGATTTTTTACCCCAAACAATAATAATACTTGTGTAACTAGGAGGCACTTTATGAAGATGACTGTACCTTTACCAAGAAAGCACCAGACATGATAGATTAAAAGAATATTTAGTTTAGCTTCTTCAAATAATAATTTAAGTTGAAGTTTTGGACATCTTCAAATATCCAAGAGGGAAAATATTAACAGGAGACATTAGGACTGATTTGTGGTCACCACCTTGGAACATTTATAAAAAAAGGAATCAAGTTCAGTGCTGATTTCCACCTTACTCCCTGTGGACAGAATTTTCTGTCCCACCCACATCAGCATCCATCAGTATTGATTGTATGCATTTATGGAGGTTTTTGCTTTTTGTTTATTTGGACAGGTCACCTTTATCTGGTTAAAAGGTGCAAAACATTGTACCAGAAAGTCTTTTAGAAGCATACTTAGAACTTTCTAGTACAATTCTACATTCAGGAATACAACATATAATTTACAAAGCTGTTTTTAAAACTATGGATGGATAATGACACTTGGGACTTCTTTTTGTCATAGTCAAACATGGGAAATACAGATAGAAAAAAAAAGATTATAATAGCTTTTACACAAAGATGTAACCTTAAAAATTACTGTTTTACATGAAAATCCTCATGAAAAATATAAATACAAGCTAAAAGACTTGCTTGGTACCTTGGTGTTTTATGTGCCTAAGTCCCCATAGAGTTAGATACATATTAACGGTGGAGATGTGTTAGGCTACAAGAATGGATCTTGATATGAACATTTGGGCTCATTATGTAGATTGTCAGATACAAATGAAATCACTCTATTATTAGGCCATTCCAGTCTGCAAGATGGAAGGACCACATCCACCTGACAAGAAAAGGCACAGAAAACAGGTGATGTGGTTCACTGTGCCTGGCAGTTCTGTTTACTAGTCATTTCAGCCTCTCAGCACACACTGTAATTCCAGTCCACACTCCTCTGTAACCGCATGACTCCCTCTCAGGCTTCCTCTAGGCTTAACCATCAAGCACATGCTGGCACTAAAAATAACTGCTCTGCTCTCTGTGCCTCCGGTCTGCCACCATCTTATTCCTACACACTCTGAACCCAATCCATGACAAGTATTTCAATAATAAAAAAAATTCATGTTAGTAGCTTGGATGGACAGAGCCCTTGGATTTGAGGGAGGAAGACTTACATTTTCTGTGGCTTCTGATTTTATTACAAGCCTATTAGTAAAACTCCCTATGTATCCTTGATACACACAGTAGGAAATAAAGCGTTAGCTGCCATATGACGAGTAATAGCTGAAATGTGTGAGCGACTTAAATCATACATTTTATATTGATTATAATACCAAAATCACTTAGTTGAAGAAAATCTATTACAATCTTAGTAAACTATCTCCACTGTTATTTTTTTTAACTTCTCTTTCCATTTTTTAAAAAATTATTTTTTTCTAAATTTAGGCTATGAAAACAGAGTCTGAGAAGTCACAATCAAATAAGGTAAATAATTTAAGTATGTGTGTGAGTTTATTATTCTGACCTTTTTTTAAATAATAATGAATGAGTTTCCTATATGGGTAAAGTGATTTGTCAGCTAATTTAAATAGCTTTGACTATTCTGTTAAATATAAATTCATAGAATGCATATAAAATATGGATAATGTTAAATTGATGCACTGTTAAAAGGATATACAATATTTCATTAACAAAACTATCTCACAAGTTATTCAAATATAGATTTTAATCAAAATTTTTTAAAGAAAGGAACAAAGGAGGAAATGTCAAGCAGAGGAAAATAGAGTTGTTTTCTATGTAAGCCTGAGGGCCTGAGTTCAACCCCTAGAACCCACAGCAGAAGGAGCAAACCATGGTGGATTTGGCACTCCACCATGACACACACATGTGCAAGCACACATGTTCAGACACAAAAAAAATGCACACACATCACAAACACACATATTCTCATGCACATGCATACACCTACACACATACAGATGCACTTACTCATACCCATACATGTGAATACATAGAATATACTCACAGAGACACATCTGCATGCACACACATGCATACTCACATGTACACACACACTAACAACTTTAAAAGGACAAGGGCAGTGCAAGCTATAGGTACCTTGAAACACTAGGAGCAGTGTGCTGAACCTGCCCCTAGACCTTTGGATGACAGTGGGCAAGTTAATCTCAGCCTTTGCTGGGCTGGTGGAGATGTCATGAGTCACTCAGTCCCTTCCTCTGGGAACAACTACTCTTGCTTCCCTGACCCTTGGCTGTCCAGTCTGAAAATCATTCTTCTCCCACAGAAAAGTGGATTTCAGAGTGCCAGCAGCAACACACCTTTCTCTGCAATGCAGTGCTGTGCTTCATTCTTTCAACTGTTTAAGCATATGCTTAGATAAAACCACAAGGTTTCTGTAGGGCAGAGAACTGAGTGAAATTTTGGAAGCACAGATATAGATGGGGCCATAGGGTGATTCTGCAAAAGACCTGTCAGTGACCTGCCTTCAGTCTTTACATAGGGGATTCTAGAGGGAAGAATTTAGCAGCTAGGTGAAAATTTATCTTCTGTTCCATATTTTAATGCTTGTAGTTTTTTCTGCCAAACGTAATTGGACCTGTGGGGATGTGATCATATTTCATCTCCTATGGACAGAGATTTCAAAATGAATTCTATGGGTGGCAGAGAGCACAGAAAATTTAGTTCAACAAACTTAGCACTTACCGTAGTCTTTTGATGCCTTTGTAGACAGTCTCACAACTACTGATCAATCTTAGGGAATGTACAATGCAGCCCAGCATTTAGAGAAATATATGTCTTTGGGAACGTCTTTCTAGAGGAAAGACTCTAGAATTGCTGCCAATGGAGACTGTTGGCAGGTCACTTTGACTGTAGTATATGCCTGAAGTTTCTCCTGAGGACAGAGTGGTTTAGTCAGATTGAATTCATGGGCCAACTTGTAATTATAAAAATAGCAGATTCCAATACATTAATTAAGCTTTTACTTCTTTGACATTAACAGCCATCTGTGGCTCATGAGAAAAAGTCTCAAGAAAGAAAGCCAAAGGAAAGCTCAGAGGTAAGCACCTTTTTCTAGGACTTGACCCTCTATAGCAGTTTCTGTTGTAAGACAGACCTGTTTCCTCAGCTGACACAGCGCCATCGTATGGTGGCAATAGTAGTGTTCAATGATTCCCCGTCTCCTCCCTCCAAGATGTGGTTTCTCTGTAGCCTTTACTATCCGGAAACTAGCTCTATAGACCATGCTGGCCTTGAACTCACAGAGATCCTCCTGCCTCTGCCTCCCAAGTGCTTGGATTAGAGGCGTGCACCACCATCACTTGTCATGTTCAGTAATTCTTAATGAAGGTTTTAGGAGGATTTGCAATATTTCAGATTTTGTACCTAAAGTACCATAGGGTTTGCCTCACACTAATTGATATTTGTGTAATTCAAAACTTCCAAAAACAAACTGTTACCATACAGCCCTTATTCTGTAAGAAAAATATCTGTTTTAAACTACCATCAAGTTAATAACGTATGTGTGTGCTTTCAGCCCCCAAACCTTCCCAGCCATGCTTCAGATGCAGGAAGTAAGCATGCTCATAAAGAAAAAGCAGTTTCCAAGTCAAATGAGAAGATGGTGTCAGAGAAATCGGCAGAACCAAAGGTGAGCTTGATGAATATGAAGCCGCTAATAGCAACTTACTATTAGAATATGACCCCTCGGGGCCCAAGGTTGAATCTGTGGGGTTGCACTGGATGCATTTGGTATGATTTAGGACTGTGGTTGTACTGGTTTTGTAAGACACATTGTAGGGATGTAGAATTATGGAGGACCTGAGAAAGGTCATCAGAGAGATTTAGGGAAATGTACTGTCCAACCTCCTCCTGCTGCTTATGGTGACCAGTCATGACAAGGTTACAGACTCTTGTATCTCCCAAGCAGAGAGCTTTGAAAAGAGGCTACCTCCTAGTCCCCTCTAAACTTGGCTCAGGAGCCCTGCATTCTCATTCATATTTGTTCTGTCTCTCTTTTTCTGTGCCTGTGTGTGTGTGTGTGTGTGTGTGTGTGTGTGTGTGTGTGTTATCTCATCTATGCTTGAATCCATGGGCTCAAATAATTCTCCTGCCTCAGCTTTCAAAGCATCTGGGAGTGCAGCATGACTGTCTCCCTCTGCTTCTTTACACAGAAGTTCTGATGCATTTTTAGGACTTGGTGGAATTTATGAATTCATGAAACCTAAACTCAGAAATTGATTCTGTAATTACACAGTTGGGGGCCCTTTGCTCTTAGAAGAAGAAACATCTATGAGACATTTTTCATTGAGAGCATTTGGAGGATTAAAAACGAGGCCCACTTTACAATGGATTTTCTATCAGAGTTCACAAATATGTGATTCAGGAATTTAATACAATACATGGTTTGTTTGCTTGTTTCAACAATGTTGTTGAAAATTATTTTTAACTCTCAAAATTAATTTTTAATTAGGTGCTGGCATAAGATGTCAGGAAATTTCACATAAAATCCAAATTTATAACTTCTCTCAAAAGTCAGAGTATCTGGCGAACTGAGTTCAGATGAGAGCAGCTGACAGGAGAAACCGCAACTCCTTTGTGGTTTCCAGTTTACCACAACACATTGAGCTCATTGACTAGGTGCAATGGTGTTTTAACATTTGTGTAACCTGAATGGACTCTGTGGGCTCTTGAGCCCAGCCCTTTGTTGTTCCCAACATTGTACCCCATGCAGAAAGAAGCTAGCAAACTCTCTCAATGGTGATTCCATGAAAACAAACTGTCAGGTGTTGGAGACATCTGAAATTCATGATCTTGGTCATAGTTAACGGTACTTGCTTAGTCCTGCCACTCTTCTGTCTTTGCTCTCAGACAAAATCACAAGATGCTCCTGTTGCTGCTGGAGAGAGTGTGGTTTCTAGTGTGAGTGTGGCTGCAGCATCAGACAAGGCGGATGGCAAGGTGAGCACACATACAGATGTAACATGGTCCTCTCTGCTTATCAGGCTTCAGTTCTAAGAAGCATATAAAAGGCAGCCTGGCCTTCAGAAATCATGGGCACTGTGTATGAGTTTTTGTGAAGAAGAGCATCTGTTTGGGGAATTTAAATAGAGAAAAATACTAAAATAGTTTTGACATGTGTATATCCGTTAAATACTTATTGGGCACCTGGCATATAAATCCTGGTATCAATGCCAAAGAAATTGCAATGTAAGTTGGTTCAGGCCCTACCTTCTAGACTCACAGGTATGAAATGAAAGGCATAAAACATTTGCAGGTATTTAGGTAGGCATTACACTCAGCTTTGAATGTTTTCAGCAGCAGCAGCCTTAACTCTAAATCACAGTCACAGCAAGGGCGTGAGTTGATAGCATGGCAAGCCCTCACTCACACCATTGTAGATGTACTGGCCCATCCAGGAAGCCTGCCTTGAAGCCTTGGAGGAGCTTCAGATGCCAATTTGAAAGTCACAGACAAAGCTAAGAAGTGTGACACATGCCCTGCAACATCTTCCTTTTTTGGATCTTGGGATACTGGGCACATTAGTTTGACCAAACTCACAAACTCTTTTAAATAGAAACACTCTCATATGAAGGTTTTCACAATAAATTACTTGTATGTTTACTCATGACTCCCCTCTCCCCCATTACCTAGAACAGTCTTGTTACCATGAGTGTACTCAAATGAGCTAATTTGAAAATGAGTAGATTTAAGGGCAAGGACTAGATATGTTACTATAAATTCTTTTAAATGTATTCAAAGTTCGAGATTTGATTCTAGGTATAAACTAGCCCAAGTTATCAGTAAAAGCTAAATGATCCTGCTAAGAAAATTGTGCATGGAATTCAGTTATTCATTACTTGATTATGGAACTTTCTATAAGTTATTTTATCTGACTACTCCTGATTCTTCCCCAACTCAGTAGGATTAATCAGATATGTCTTATTTTAGTATGTGGCATTATAACTGACTGTAGAATGTGCTAGCTGCAGGCTATCCCATCTAGTATTGAGGAAGTTGAAACTTTAATTCAGGCAGAGTAAGGGAGGCCCCTTTAGAGAGATATCTTGTGAGGAAAGGGTGGATTTCATCTGACTTGGGGAATCCACAGGACGGACTTTGAGAGAGTAGAGACCTTTGAGGTAGGCATGAAAAGATAGCCAGGATTCCAGACTCGCAACCATTTCAAGGTATTGAAAATGTTTAAATGAGTTCTGGGCACAAGTGCATTCCAGTGTCAGAAAGCACAGGGAATCCAGAGGTGGCAGTAAGACCAGAAAGACGGGTTAAGGCTGCTGGAGAGGATGCTGTGGGTAGTGATGAGGAGGTGAAGGTTGCTTGGGGGCTGTTTCAGTGGTGCTGGTAAGTCATTGTATAGTGTGACTTAGAGCTAGGATAGAAGAAGGGGGAGCTAGTCAGTTATTGCAGAGGTGAAGCCTTCGGGTTTAGAAGGGAGTTGGCCAAAGACAGAAGAGGTAAAGTAAAATGTACAGTGTTAAGGGGTTTCAGAATCTGACCTGAGTAGGTTGATAACACTGAAGTAAGACACAACAGATGCAAAGCTTCTGGACATCCTCACTGTGTGATTCAAACACAGGGTCAACACTGAGAGCAAATGTCTCGTTGTGAGTGCATTAAGGGCCTTGCAGTGCTCAGAGCCTCTGGTTACCTTTGAAGGTCAACGAGCTCATTGAATTCACGTGGACAAAAGGGTGCCTAGGTTGGGATAGACTGAATTGAAATATGCAACAGGCCTAAGGAAAGATAAGTGACAAAATAATTAAAGTACTGTTTGGCACTCAGAAGAAGGGAGGAAAGTTGAAGGGAAGAGGGAGGGAGAGAAAGGAAGGGAGACTGTGGAGGTGGAGAGAAAGGAAAAGATTCAGACAGGAAGAGGGGAGAGGAAGGTGTGTGTGAGTATGTATCTACAGAAGGTGGTAGCTGACTCCCGGAACTGGCTTGCACCTGACAGTGTTTTCAGCATCAAAATAATAGCAGCTGATTATGTAATATTTAATTGTATAGCAAGTACTTACATCGTGCTTTCCAAGTATCAAACACTGGTTATCACTAACATAACCCTCACAACCCCTAGTTAGGTAACATCACCTTACTATGAAACCAAGGGACTGGAGAAGTTACTGATAAGTCTCAAGCAGCCATGCATGTCACTGATAGTACAAATGCAAGCGGCCTGGTATCTGCTTCCCAAATTTGATGCTTTCCAATGATACCCGGCCCTGGATGGTCGTAAATTAATGAAATAGCCTCACCAATTTAATTCCTGCCAAGAGTTTAGTCCTAGAAGACTTGAGATAGGCCACCATCACAAATCACTAACATACAGCATATGTGCTATTGGAAACAGAGCAGAAGACATGCCCTAGGTGACAAGACAAGGGCACAAACACAACAGCAGAATCAGAGTGTTGCTTTGCTGTGGCAGGGGTGAGAGATGAGAGAGCTGACACAGTGATGCTCCTTAGGGTCATCTTCAGAGATTATGTCTGAACAGTCAGGAAGGTTACAGGTTGGAAAGTCAGTAGCCATCTTTGAGAGGAACCACAGTAATTAATGGTGAGAGAGGAAACTCAAAGAAAGAACAATGATATATCAAGGTAAGAGACACATTGATCTTGATGAGTGACAGCAAAGACCTTCAGAAAGACCTTGTAGAGTTGCAAGGCCCAGACCAGTATGGTGAACAAAGGGCCAGGCAGTCCTGGTACAGATCATGGTTTTGTTCCTTGCTCTGCAACCCAGAGAAAGTAGCCTCATCTCCTCCACCTTCCTTCTTCTTTCCCCTTTCTTAATCTTTTCCTTCCTATCCTCCTTTACCTCCCTCCTCTCCCTTTCTTGTCCCTTTTCTCCCACCTTGTTATATCTTTCCTTAGACCTGTGAAGGACTTAAGTCGGTCTATCACAAAATGCTTCCATTTTCCTGATCTCTCTAAGCCTCTCTTTCCCATCACTGAACAGGCTTAACATGTGTTTAGTAGTTCTGAAACATATAACATTAATATCCAGAGCACATCAGGGGACTAGTACTTGGACTAGGCTATTATATTTGAATGATTTATCTTAAATCTTTCATAATGTTGTTTCATAAATATATGTGAAAGTTTTTAATGTCCTTCTAAATTTCCACTAGAAAAAAGAAAAGAAATCATCAACTCCAGCTTCACGAGTGGAGTCCAAACCAAACAAGCCACCTGGCAAGGTATGGAGATCCAAGTCAGTTCATCATCAGACATTTGTCCTCTGCTGCTTGTGTCAGCCTGAATTCTTGTGGTTTTAAAGGAAAAATGTAATCACTTGGAGTTTAAAGAAAAACAACTGAGTTGAAATTGCATCCTTCATACTGTTTGTACCATTTCATGGTATAAGCCTCTGTTTTGAATCTAGATCCAGTACACTGAACTTATTTAACAGTTTCTATTCCAGAAATATGTGTTCTTTAGCAACATTATAGCTGATTGAGACTTGGCAAGCGACTTCTCCTGTCCCTTGGTTTTAGAGTGGAGACATCTTGGGGGTTGTCTAAGTCTTCTGTATTACCTCTCTACTGGTAAAGAATATAAGGTGCTCCTTTGAAATCTATTGTCTCTCTCCCAAGAAACCACAACAATAATTTAAGAAGTAAAGAAAATCTAAGGATAATGGGCCCTAATTTCTCTTAAATAACTTAGTAATGTGGAGTCCTGGAAACCATCGTGGGAATGTGGTCATCTTCAGTGACACTTTTAGGTTTGATGTGTGTAGTGAGGATCTTTGCATTTCAAGTGCCTGTTTACACTGAGTCATCCATAACTACAAAGGTGGCAGAAACCTCTCAGTAATGTGCTGAGTTCATGTTGGCAGACTGAGCTGTCTGCTCATATATCTTTACCACTGATTTCACATGACTTCTCTTCAGAGCTAACTTTGGGCAAGCAAGTGAGCAATAACAATGCTCTTAAAGAAATGGACAAATACAGGAAATTTCATTTTTTAAAATAGCTTCTATTGGGAAGAGGTGTTGTCCACAGATTTTGTAGTATGAAATTTGGAAGTGGTGGACTGAAAAGCAACAAGTACCACACGGCTAATCCTTGCATTTCTTTTTCTGTTTTAATTGTCTGTACCTTGTCTTGGCAGCCTTCAAGAACTAATATATTTGTTGTTCTAGTTAATAACTGTACTTTTAAAATTGGTGATGCTTACCTGAATGTGACTTTTTATCTTTCCAATGAAGAATCTGAACAGTGCATCTCATAATAGAAATGGATTGAATTTTTTATTATTTTTGAACTTGGAAAAGTTACAGTATTTGGTACATTTTTGTAGTTAAAAATAAAGGGCAATATAGCTACCAAATAACATTGACATATCTTTCTCTTTCATTTCCAGTCAGGCATGGATGCTGCTTTAGACGACTTGATAGACACTTTAGGGGAACCTGAAGAAACTAACAAAGATGAGCCACAATACACTGGACCAATAGTTTTGGTATGTGATTGGAAGCCAGTAAGAATTCATCCTCAATGGATAGAGTAAACAGGAGGGCATCCCATGTTTTGTTGATTATGTAGAAGCAGGATGGTATCAGTATTGATAATTGAAGTCAAAACTTAGGGGTGGGAGTGGAAATAGCCTGCCTTGTGACAGCTACACAACTGCATTCATTCGGGAAATATCTGATGGTGCTAAAACTCTCTCTGAAACAACTGACTGTGTCAGGAAATCTTGTTCTCTGTTGTTTACATTTCATGCAGTGAACTTGAATTTATTTTGATTTTTATGTCTTTATAATCCTGAGTTACTCTATTTTTAATTTCCAAAAAATAATGTAATTTTGTTTCCTTATATTAAAAATGTTGTAGATTAGATGAAAATATTTTCAATAGATACCATTAATTATGTGTTTCTTCAGTTTACAATAAATAGAAAAACAGAAAAAGACAATTCAATAGAGAGTTAAGAGAAAGTTGTTGGACAATGAACAAATAACATGAAGGTCTACTAGGGATTTAGGAAAATGACATAAAGAATGAGGTGGTTCCCTTTTCGTGACCAGATGGCAAAAAGTTTCAAAGTCTGATAATTCAACTAAGGCACTAAGTAGGAAAGATGTGTCCCTCCCATCACAGATGCTCTCTAGAGAGAGCCTGGGAATCTTGTCATTGTGTACAGCAAAGGGCAACTGGCAGAACATTTGGAAACGATGTGGTTAACAGAATATCATAAGCTGTTCAGTGCTTCCTAGAAGGAAAATGGCTTCCTCATGCAACACCATGGCTATAATACAAAGCCACAATTTTAAATAAAATAAGCCAGAGCAACAAGATGATGCTATGTATATAGCATTTGAAAATATACAAAGTTATGATGTATAATGTTTATGAATTCCTATATGTGGAATAATATTTTTAAAATATGCTCCACTTTATAGTTTCTAAAATTGAAAAATTACATGTATCATTAGAAATAAGCCATAGGTGAGATGAAGATATTTTCAAAAGTAACAAAGTATTCACTTCTAGCATTTATAAAGAATAAAAAAAACACAAAGAAAAAGACAATTCAATAGAAAATGATGGAAATGATGGATTTAAAGTGCAGGGTGCAATCTATAAAGCTGATTAACATACCATTAGAACTTTAGGATTATGTTTAGTTTTAGCTTGTTAATGATTTATTTTCATCTCAATAGTTACAGACAATTAGTACTGGAATAGTAACTTGGTTTCATGTATCAGTCTCAGTATATTAATTGCATAATGTTTTTATGTGTGACTTAATTCCAGGACCCAATGGATTCTACCTACATTGAGGCATTGGGTATAAGAGAAGGGACTATTCCTCCAGAGTACAGGAAATTTCTGGCTGTAAGTTATCTTGCACTTTTATTTCACCATTTTTTTCTTGGAAGATAATTTCATATCTATCTCAACATTTAGAAAATTGAATTGGGCATATACAGTTATTCATATTAAAAAGTACTCCCTGTGTATTAACCTTCTGGAACATCCCTGACAATGCACCACAGACTAGATAGCTCAACCAAGAGAAAAGTATTGTCTGCTGTTTCTAGAGGCTGGAAGTGACAGTTAGGTTCTGGGAAGGGCTGGCTCCTTCAGAGGACTTTGAAAGGGAGCTGTCTTCTAGGGCTCTTTGCTAGGCTTGTAGATGGTTGTCTTCTCCACGAGTCATTTCACATTACCTTCCTCTGTGTTTCTCTGGGCCCCAGTTTTCTCTTTTCATAAGGACATTGGTATCACTTGATAAGGGTTCCCACTAATGACCTAGCTTCACTGGATTCCTTGTATAGAGATCGTGTATCCACATACGGTACCATTCTGAGGTGCTTTGGAACTTCAACATATGAGTGGGAGAACACACATCATAGACTGAGAATACATTTTCATCAATCAGAATAATTAATTTTGACTTCTTAACTTCTTTCATTTTTGTTTCAGAATAAGGAAGGGATCACAGGACCTCCTCCAGACTCTTCTGTGAGTTAGGGTGCATGTCTTCTAAGATCTATATCAACGCAGTGTATCTTTCTTTGTGGGCATAGAACTATCAGTACCAACTGGGCACAGTGGTGCCATCCAGTTACTCAGGAGGCTGAGTTCATGGCCAGCCTGGGTAAATTCTACCATGTCTCAAAGTTAAAAGTGAAATTATATCTGGGGATATAGCTCTGTGGGAGAGTACTTGCCTAGTGTGCAAGAGGTTCTGAGTTCAATATCCAGGACCAGAAAAACAAAATGAAAAAGACCTATCAATTCTGTATCTGAAGGTGATGACCATGTTAATGTCTCAATCAGACAGTGTTTCTTTCTGTTTGTAGAAAGAAGGTGGGCATGGGGGCTGTTTCACTGTTTCTTGGCCACATATATGTATGGAGTTGGAGATGATGGGGTCAAGAACATAGAAGGACATAGTAAATGCCAATAATTATGTGTAATTATGAGCACATGTAACCACATGTAACTCTGTTAGAAGGAGGGAAAAGGAGGAAGCACACTCCCTTCCAAACATGGCTTCCTTCCGGGTTATTTATTAACATTTCTCATTTGGTATCTAAGGAATGCAAAGAATATTTCTTTGCTGGACTCCTAGTCTCTAGTTTGGCTCTTAGGTGTTAACTCTGTGCTCTTTTCTCTAGAAACCCATGGGGCCTGATGATGCTATAGATGCCTTGTCATCTGACTTCACCTGTAGTTCTCCGACTGGGAAGCAAACTGAGAAAGAGGTATTGTTTTCAGTCCTGTTAAGCAGGACTTTGCTAGAAAATAATCTTGGATGTAAAAACATCATTTTAGTTCTGTTTATCACAATTGAACTTCCATCACCTGTAAATATCTTTTGTATTTTCTTTTTCAGAAATCAACAGGGGACGTTTTCAAAGCTCAGTCTGCTGGAGTGACCAGAAGTGCCATTCCTCCCCAGGAGAAGAAAAGAAAGGTGGAAGAGGTACTTACTTCCTTAAATAACCAGGGCCCATATGACAACAGTTATTTATCTAATTTTGCTTACTTATGAATAATTTTACTGTAATCATAAAAGCCCATCTCATGTTGTAACACAAATACTGCTCTTGAAACATGAAATCTTAGACTCAAGTTCCTGAAGGGAGCTTTGTGAGTCATTATAGGGCTGTCAGCACAGCTGTTTCTGCTGCCTCAGTACTAAGCTGTAATGTAATTCTGTCTTCAGAGTCCATCATGCAGCTGCAGGCTAGATGTGAACACATGACCGGTGTGAACTGTGCTGATAATGCTAAGGACCATTTCTATCAGGGCTGTCTCTGCTTCTGCCCTGCTGGAGCCTATAGTTTATTTTTATCTCCCTGTGAGAGCATCATGGGGAGTGCCACACCCTGACAGTGGAGCTCTGTCTTCAGAGGCCACCTCAGCTTTCTCACTTACATGAGCTTAGCTGTTGTGCTGAAGAGCCAGGCTTTCAGAAGACATTTTACAAACACAGTTTTAGAAAAAGAAAAACAGAGTCTTACAAGTTTACTTGCTTGCAGCTTTTATTTTGAGAAGGGTCTTTTGTAATACAATTTTTATTATAATCATATGTCTGACTTGCAAAATAAGTCTTGAAGTCTGCCCTATAGTTGTTTCTATAGGAACAGGCTGGTGTCTTACACCAAGTTTTCATTCATCGGTAAGTCTTTTTTCTTCCTCTTTTAATTTCCCAATCCACAATTCACCTTCTGTATTTAAAATGTATATTTCACAAACAAGCAGATCGTTCATATGGATTATCTAAGCTCTAAAGCTCTGAAGAGTTTTTTGTTTTGATTTGTTTTTATGCACAGACCCTTTCTCTTTTAACAGGATGTCATGAGTGATCAAGCCCTGCAGGCTCTGTCAGATTCACTGGGCACCCGGCAGCCAGACCCTGAGATCCACCTTAGCCAAGCTGAACAAGTCAAAGAGGTACTGACCTGTAATTCAAGCAAGCACTGGCACATGAGTAGATTCCTTTGTATTGTCTGGTAAATGTAGGTATTTATTGCTGGGGAGTGAGCAACCAAGGCAGAGGGTTAAGTGTTCATGTAAAACATGGACTGTATTAATACTTGAAAAGTGAGGGTGTGGCTCAGTGGTCAGGTACTGGCATGGGCTGTGCAAAGTCCTGGGTTGGAATCCAGCACTACAAGAATGCAAAACCTTTTGGTCCAGTATATTGGCATACATCTGAGATACCAGAACTGAGGAGGCTGAGGCAGGAGGATTGTGAATATGTTTTAGAATAGCCTATGCTACATGGTGAGACCCTGTCAAGAAAGAGAGTGAAGTGGGGGGCAGGAAGAAAAAGAAAGAAACACTAATCTGCTTTGCCAAAGCTAAAAAGGCTCCTAACTAAGCAAGATAACAGTAGTAGTGTGGTAAGAACCTGTGAACTTTGCTTTTGCTGGGTATTTGAATTTGCAATTTCACAAGAGTGCTTATGGGGGGAGATGATGGGAGAGTGCCATGAACCTTCTTTTATATAGCTATGGGGGAGAAGGTTGACAAAATTGCCTCAGGTTGAAATAAATTGAGCAGAAGTCACTCAACTACTTGTTTACTGGAGCTCACACACACTTACAGCATGTTTGTCTCATGTTTGCCTTCATGCCCTTAGTGAGCCCATCCATCTACCAGCTTGTAGCTGGTAGAAGTGTGATATTAAGTTATGATTTTTATATACTTTTTCAAATCAGTTCTCTGGGAAAAAGGAAAAGGACAGAAGTAAGCTCTCTGTATCTGACAAGGCAGGAATCCTGGAGGGATTAGGGGCACTGTCCTATCAGATCAGGGAAAAGAAGTTGGCAAGCAGCATTGTCACAATGCCCCTGTCTCTGCTGTCATTTCCTGTTCTGAGTTGTCAAGGAAGGGCAATCTTCCTGACTCCCAGGAACTCTGCCTAAGTTTGAATTGGCCCAAGTCTACTATGGGCCAGTTTCTGTCTTCTACTTTCTGGGAGGGCTCACCTGCTGCAGTATGGCATGAGAGGCCTCGTGATGCTGAACACAAGGGAGCTGGAGAAACAATCCCTGTCCTTCAGGACCATGTGGTGTGCTCAGAAGAAAAGGAACATGGGTCCAAACACTGTGAGGTGCACATTGCTCAGAGCCATGCTGTCTCTAAGGAGGGTGGTCTTAGTGGAGCCCTGAGTAGAGCCACAAGATCCTATACTGTGGTTCTATCACCTGGGGGCTATGGATTTTACTATTGCCTCAGGCTTTTTGTAAATAGTCAGACTAATTTAATAAGACAATACATATGGGAAGAGAATGTATAAGCCTGATAGAAGTCCCAGGACACTCTAACTAACCCAGTCACTAACCCAGATGAATAGGTGGGAAAAAGTTCATGAAAGGAACTTACGAACTTATACAGCAGCATGGGTAATTCCATTAATCTCTGGAGTGTGTATGGGAGTATGTTTACTGTCCTAGAAAGCAGTGCGTATCAGTAAACTAACAAAATAACCTTCCACTTATGTCATGCTAGCTCTCCCCTAGTCCTAAACTATAACTATCTCCTATCTTTTTATAGCAGTCCATGGTCATGTCAGCACCTCCCACATTAGGCAGCCCCTCCCACATTAGGCAGCACCTCTACAAACTAGGGAAGTCTCCAGAGAACAAACCCAATCCCACTTCAAGTCTTATAACAGACCATACCATAAAATAAGCATTTATTTAGCCTATAATGATACATTTTAAGCCATCCCCATTTTTTAATATGTGTACCTGGTCCAGCATGTTTGCAATATGGTAGAATTTCCCTTGGTCTTTTGGTCTTTTTGGTGTCTTGTATAGTGTAGCCATTTTAAAAATATAAAGATTAAAGAGGCTAAAAAAAAAAAAAAAGGCTCTAGCTGTGTGTGTATCTGCCCATAGCCTGGAAGTATGGAGACACTCTTGCTGTAGAGATGGTCCTTGATATTTACAGAGTCTCCTTTTGGACTAGACATGGCACATCTCTGTGAGTTGGGCAGTATTGCTACATATCAGAACCCCAGAGACAGCGATAGCATAAAACCTGAAATTCGAAAAGAAACAAGACATTTTCATCCTAAATAATATACAGCTATAGTCCAAGAACAAAGAATATGGCCTGACTCACTAAAATTGCTTGATACTTTTAAAGAATTAATTTAAAAAGTAGCCAGTCCAGTGTGAGGCTGAGGTGGAGGTGGAAACAGTGGACAGACTCAGAATTTGCTAAAGTGAATTGCACTGCCTACCTTAGGTTCTGAGTTCTAAACCCTTGCCCTGAGATAGATACAAATCCTTACACATGGGATCTTAGAGGACTCATCTGCAGATTTCATTACAGGTGCTATAGAGGAGAATTGGTAGTCTACTACAGAGTTAATCATGTCTAATGGATTTATTTGCTCCCGGTTTGGGGATCTTGTGAAGTAAGTCCTGCTGCTTTTGAAAGAAATCCTTTATAAAATGGTAAAGTCAATTCTCCCTGAAGAAGCCACACCTGTGACTGTCTTCCTCTTCTATTGCTGAACTGTATGAGAGAGTTGGATATGTACTTTTCTGTCTCCTAGGATAACTGCCCTGTTGGGCAAGATATATGGGAGCTATTAAAATAACTGCAAACTAACTTCTGCACTCTGCTTACTGTCCTCCAAGAAGCCTTTATTTACTTTAGTGAACCTTTAAAGTCAATGAGGTAAGGAAGGGTTATTAACCAGAGAGGTATCACTCCCAAGGGTGCCACGGCTTCCTAAATCTTGGACCAAGCATGGTGTCTATCCCAGTGCCTGCTCACAACTGCTTTTCACAGATTTACACTTTGTGGTTTACAGAGCAATTTGAACACTTTAACCTAATCTGGGCTATTTTGAAATGTAGGTGCCATGGGTTTATATTACATCATCTGATTCCTGCTGTTTTTACCCATCCAATTTTATCAGGCAAAAGCAAAAGAAGAAAGGCAGGAGAAGTGTGGTGAAGATGATGACACAGTTCCTTCTCAGTTCAGGTTAAAGCCAGCTATGGTAAGCTTTCTGCCTATCAGCAGCTGATTGGCTCTCATGCTTATATGTCTCTCCTTGACACTAGGAACACAGCTGTCCCACTTGAATTAACTCTGATCATGCTGGACCCTTTTTTCTAGCCTCTCTGCAGTCACAGGACCAAGCCCCTCAGGGATGATTTGTCCTTCTATGGCTTCTAAAGTAGTCATTAAAACTCTAACCTATTTGACTATTTGAAAAAGTATTTCCTACATTGTGAAGTCTTATGTTCAAAAACGAAGCAGTGTTTAAAATACAAAAATGATATTTATCCCATCCTAAATTAGAGGATTGAAGCTTTTTGTGTTTTACAACGGGTTCTCAGTGTGGACTTGACTAGCTTCAAGCTTATCCTGTATTGGGGACTGTCCTTGAACTCCTGATCCCCTCTAGCTCCCAACTTCGAGGGTCACAAGCATGTGCCTACATACCCAGCTCCATAGAATTAAATGTTTTCTCTTAATCGTCGATCAAGGAAGGGGTAGCCAGATTACTCAGTGGGTAGAGATGCTTGTCACCAAGACTGACTAAGTTTGATCCTTGGGTCTCATGTGATAGGGAAAAAACTAACTCTGCACACACCCATGCACACAATAAATTTCCCCCCTCCCCAAATTCCATTAACACAGTTGTACTATTCTTGTAAAAGCCTTTTGGTTGTTGGGTTTTTTTTGTTGTTGTTGTTGTTGTTGTTGTTTATCTTTTTACCTTACCAGACAATCAATCTTTTAGTGACTTGTAATGAAAACAAGTCACAGAATCCTTAGAAATGTGTAGTCTTTTGATCAGATTCCTGTATTGGTACTTAAAGAAATTAAATCTAAAGCTAATTCACTCAAGGAGAAGAAAAAGTCAGTTCACATCTTGGATTTGCCTAAAACAAACATAAAAGGACATGAAAGCAAATTTTTCTATTTTATCTCCAATAAATTTCTAATTTTATTTTCAGGATAAAGATGGAAAACCACTATTGCCAGAGCCTGAAGAAAAGTCTAAGGTTGGAAAATAAGATTTTCCTAACACTTAAAAACAGCAGAAATATAAAGTATAAATTAGGATCATTTTTAAAAGACCACATTTCACATGCAACCTAAAACTGAGGCAAATTCTAATGGTAATTCAAGGCTCTTTTGCATATATTTTAATGATGGTTTCTCTCATGAATTATTAGCAGACTCTTAGTTTCTAAGCACCATTCACAAATCATTATTCATTAATGCCAAAAGAGCCTTTACATAATATTATCTTAGCATTTAATTTAGAATTTGATTTAGTAACTACATGAAATATTCTAACATGTTTATATTGCCTTAAATATACTTTTCAGTTTCCTGTCATGATGTCACTAGTCAGCATTTTTAATCACCTACTGTGTGCTTAGCATTTCTCCAAGTGCTTTCCATGTCTTTTCTTCTCCATTTCATTTTTAATGAGCCATTGAATAGAGTAGTATTGCTTGCTCGGGCCCAGGTGTGTGTGTGGGGGGGTTATTTAGTAGAGCATTCACAATTTCTCAGTAGATATACCACTGAGAAAAAACAGCTCTTATGTTCAAATGCCTACTCTGCCTGGAAGAGCAGGCATTAAGTGCCCCTGGCTCCTCAAAGAGCTGGGTGGCTTCCTTACCCCCTCCCACATAGATGATGGGCCACTAGTGAGCTCAATCTTGTGCAGCAACTGTGCTCAACTTAAGCCCTGAGAGTTCATGAGTGCAGCAGCCATGTCTTTTCTAGGAAACAGCACTCAGACCACTGCCTCTCTTTCTGTTCCTTCTTCCTTTTCACCATAGGGTATTTTTAGAGCATCCCCACATGGAGTGACTCTGCTGGGAGAAATGGGGCTATCAAACTTTCCTGCCAGAAACCATTTTCGATCTACTCGTACTTCCCCTTCTGCTTCTTTGGTTATAGGAATTGAGTACATGAATTGTGTTTTATCTGCTTTATTATGAAGGAAATCATTAAGGACTAGTAAATGAATAGTCACTTTTAAAACTGCAGTTCTTCACTGCAGAAAATAGGAAATAGTATTTGGATAAAGCTCTGCTGCAAATCCTTTTGTTGCTTTGAAAAGTGATTTACTCCATTTTTTAATAATTAAAACTTAATTGAAATGTACTTGTAAATAAAATCATCACAAAGTGAGATTAACCAGACTGAAAGCCTGTGCCTCTCCATGGACTTCTGTGTAGTTCCTAGAGCTGACCTATCAGGTTAGTAAATAAACCTTTAGCACTTTCACAGTGCTAAGGTGCTAAGGTGCTAAGGATTCTACACTCCTGTGCCATTTTCTCACATCGATAATGAGGAATATGCCTTATCAAGCTAGCTTTTGTTTTTACATAATACAATGTAGCTAAACCATATTAAACAAGAAAAAAAAAATGCCCTCCTATGCTTTTACAGAGAAGAGCATCTTCGTAACTCAGCATTTCTTGTTACAGTGCCTGAGTGAAGCAGAGCTGGTTGGACAACTCTCAGAAGATTTTGGCCGATCTGCATATCAAGACAAACCATCTCTACCAGCTGAGAAAATAGAAGTATGTTCTGATAATGTCTTAAAGGGGGTTTTAATGTTCATTTTTAATCTGAAAATGTGTGAAGCCCAATTATTATTACATGCAGGAGTTGACTTTAAAAGACCATGAAAGCCCACATGCCACAACCTTTTGTACATGGTGTTTCATCTTGTACATAGTTGTTTTCTGTTGCCAGTCCAACCCTAGTGTTTTTGTAGTTTAAACCCTGCAGTCATCAGGGAAGTGCTTACATCCAACCTTTCCTTTTGATGGCTGTTATTGGGCTGGTTAAATAAAATTGCCACACCTCTCAGCCCTTCCCACCTTTATGTCTACCAGAGTCATCCGTTCTGAATAATGTTTCTAGTCACAGCATTCCCCTGTTCCACCCCTGAACTTCCCACTCCCTATGAATGGATTCTGCACTTGCCACTAGTATATGCTAGCCCTGGTTTCCTTGCCACCAGGCTTACTGCATTACTGCACTACTCAATGGGAAGGCTCTGTAAAAGTGACCCTTTGTTATTGGTGCTTTCCCTCCCTTGTTCACCACACTCATTACTAAAAAGAATTCTCAAGACAGGGATTCTTAATTGATTTTTGTTTGTTTATGAGGACTGTGTGTGTGTGTGTGTGTGTGTGTGTGTGTCCCTGTTAATGCAATTGTTTGAAAAGGTTCTGAGCAACCCTAACATCTATCAGTGTAAATAGTAAAGTTTCTGATGAGAACATGCTTTGGTACTGCTCCTTCTCCAGGGTGCTTTGCACATAGGAAAACTTTGCTAAAGTGTCTGGAGTAAAAGCATTTGAAAATTACTGGGATCCTGTGCTTAGAATTCTTCACTGCATTGTGGTGAAAGCCTAAGAATATATACTTCTCACAAGATCTCCAGGGATCACTCTGAGACTCCTATTTAATGTCATTCCTTACATTCATGCTGTGAGAGATGTTGTATTATCAATTTTCTCCTATCACACATGTGAAACTGAGTCAGCAAGTTGCAATTACAGTAATTGAAATGCATGCATGTCACTCAATAAGCATTCAAAAGAATGCTGACACCTTACATCTCATAGTGTCTAATTGAGCCACCATTGTTCAGTTTAATTAGTCAAGTAGCCCTAAAGTTATTCAGAGTACCTGTTTCTTTTCTCAGAAATCTAAGGACACATCCCCAGCTCCTGTGGCTGAGGCTGTGCCTCGGGCCTCCATGTGCAGTATACAGTCAGTACCACCCAAACCAGCATCATTGGTAAGTGATGTTCTTAGCTTTGAAAGGGTCTTGAGCAAGTTCTGTTCTTCACCCCACCCCCACTTTCTACTATGTGTTGCCATGCTATTAAGCCCAGAAAAAGAAGCAAGAGCTAATGCATAGTTGCTGCTCATTGTTCTTCAAGCTTCAAGCTGTGCAGGAAACTTTATCTGCATTTCACTTTTAATTCAGGTGCTGCCTGCTGCTTTGCTTTTGTCTTCTGAAATTCCTTGTAGTTTCACAACTATCTCCAGTAATCCCTGTGTCCTGAAGTTTGACAGAAAGTCCAGTGCCACATTTCTTCCTGGTTTTGCACCCAAGTCATGACCATGATCCTGCCCGCTTTCCCACTGGAGGAAAGATAGAAGCATCCCTCTGCCTTCATTGTTTCTTGTCTTCTGCTTTTCTTCTATTTTTTGAAGTGTGATATTTAAGTAAGTCCTGATTTCATTTTGATTTCTGTGGGTTTCGTTTCTATTCTTTGATGACTCACAGACTTTACACTTACAAATCTGAATTCTAAGTGACTAGCTTTCTTATTCTAGGACACATATGTTCCAGATATTCTGTAGTATCTTCTTGTTATTGTTTGTGACACCAAGGATGGTGCTGGGGCTTGACTCATGCTTCCCACACATTCCTTAACTGACCTACATCTCCTGCTAGTCTCCTCATTCAATGTTTATAAGGACACTGTAAAGTCTGATCACTTTCCTGTGTAAATGAGGAGGCCAGGCGTTGTGTTGACCTTGAGGTGTACCTGTTATCCTGTCCTGATCTAAAACTGTGAGGAGAATGAGAAATGTGGTTCAGCTTTTACATATCTTTCAGTCTTCTATAAGATATGATCAAGACCTCGAGTTATGACATAGTCTGAACTTTCCTATATGGAAAACAGGCAGATGGAACACGGACGAAGGAGTCTTCTCTTGTAGGAATTTACAAAGGCTTCCATGTAGAGGGCAGGGTCATATTGAGAAGTGAAAATAACATTTCCCAGGGAAAACAGAGAGACAGAAATGCTTTAAAGCACTTGGTGTACATGGGATATGTTCATTTAGATCCTTGAGAGAACCAGTACCTACACAAAAAAAAAGGGGGGGGGTATTTGTTCAGGTTAAAGTGTGGTGTGTGTCTTCTATCTATGAAAAATGTTCTGGCCAGGAAACATTCAACCTGTCCTATCCTTTGGTCCATACACATGGTTTCTTCATTTCTCCTTAAATGCCTCATCTGTGCTTCTTTTTCATTTGCTTGAATGTTGGCATAGTCATGTCTGGCTTGTAGCATCATGAGTGAGCACATTTCATTCTGAATAGCAAGACTCAGGTGGGTTGTTCTCATTGTGCACTGAGGACGGTTAGTCACAGACAGGAGGATCCTGAGTCAACTGATAGTCCTGTGACTAATGGAAGCACAGAGAACAAACTTATACCCTACCCTGGGCCTGGCCAAGCTTGGTGGCAGAGATTCTGCCTTCTTCCCCTTCTGTCAGCTTCTGTTATCTTTATCTTCTTTTTTTCATGGGCCAAAATTCCAGCTGGATCTTGTAAGGTTGTAAGTGTCAATAAAAAATTGCATACATAGTTCTTAATATAAGAAACGTGCTTTAATTTTTAACATTCTTAACATTTCAAAACCCCCATGCTAATCAAATTGATGGTTCAAGTTATTAAAGATAACATAGACCTGAAATAAGCATGTGCCTTTCTGAGTTGGTAAGGGTGAGTAACAACTTAGTTTTAACCTTCTGTGTGCTTGCAAAAGGGCATGGTGCCAGATGATGCTGTAGAAACTTTGGCTGGAAGTCTGGGGGAAAGGGAAGTAAATCCAGAAGACGAAAAACCTGTGGTGGATAAACTCAAGGTAATGACAGCTTAGATGCTTCTGCAAATGATTTACTAACCACCCACCTCTGCCCTCCAATAAGTTAATACTTAGTTTTTGAAAGTATGTCTGTAAAGCATGAGCAGCTGTCTTTCTTTGACACTGCATATATCCTGTTTAGTAAGCTAAACCTTAGGAAGTGCTATCATTGATCCACTATTGCAGATAGGTAGCATGCCTGTATCCAAGTTCCATGAATCCCACTATTGTCTACCTGGATTCATCCTTTGCTGAGGGCTCCTAAGAAAAGTAGCATGTGCCTAATACTCCTCCCAGCCTGCCCTTTAGCCCTGCAGGCTGAGAGGTGGTACTTGAGCCTGCTAAACTGCAAGAGTGTTAAAGTTTAAGAATCTGTTATCAATGACCATGTGCTTGTTTGAAGTTAACAATAGATTACTTCAAATTTAAATTCTGAAGAATGCATTTATAGAAGGAGACACTAACTCCACCACTTTTATATAGGAGAAATCTAAAGAAGAAGACCGTGAAAAACTTGGTGAAAAAGAAGAAACAATTCCTCCTGATTATAGACTAGAAGAGGTCAAGGTGAGCAGGCTGAGTATTTTCTCATTTTGTTTCCTAACTAAATTTTATATACATAAAGACGGAGCTGAGAACAGATCTGGAACAAAAAGATCCTATTTCTTTATATTCTGACCCTAGATTGTATTAGTACTAACATCATGTTAGAATACCAGATAAGGTGCTAAAACAAATTCTTTTAAAATTTGTTCATTTTAATTTCATATGTGTATGTACTGAATTTATATCATTTCCCCTCCTTCTCCCTCCAACTCCTCTCATGTCTCTATACCTCCCCTTCTCCTTCAAATTCATAGCCTCTTTTTCTTTATTATTGTCACATACACACACATACATACATGTATATACATAAGTTAATATATAAATAAAAGCTAACGAGTCCATTTAGTGTTACTTAACTGTATGTTTGTTTTTATGACTTAGCACTTGGTTTGGATGAGCAGTTATGGAGCTCATCCCTGGGGGATATTGTTTCTCCTTCTCTCAGCTCTTCATCTAGAGATGGGGTCCCATGAGATTTCCCTCTTCCACATTGTCAAGTCAACTGATAATGTCATTGTTCGAGTCTTGTTTAGGCGACCAAATTGTTGAGATTTCATGAATGCAGCTTCCCTGTCATATACAGAAGATGCAACCCTGCAGGAGACATCCTGGCCTTCTGGCTCTTGAACTCTTTCTGCTTGTTCATCTACGATGTTCCCTAAACCTCAGTTGTGGGGTCATGTCATAGTTATATCCATTGGAGCTGGGGACCTCATGGTTAGTTGCTCTCTGCATTCTCGTTAGTTGTAGCTTTATGTAATAGTCTTCATCTGCTGCAACAAGAAGCTTCTCTGAGGGATGAGAGCTTCACTTATCTGTGGATATAAGGATTATTATTAAGAGCATAGTTAAGACACATGCAAGTAATATTATATGGACTCAACAGCTTACATTTGGGAATACATATATACATATGTACAAATATACATATATACATATACATATATACAAATACATATATGCATAAAATAATAATTGATAAAAAAGAGGCCACAAATTGGAAGGGAGAGTGAGGAGTGGTATATGGAGGAGTTTGGAAGGAGGAAGGGTAAGGGAGAGATGTTGTAATTAAAATAAAATATCAAAAACAACCAGAGCATGCAGTTAGAGATCATACTGGTTTGGGAAGGTGCAATAGTACATTCTCCTCAAAGTTCCGTGGCCTCACCAGCCATGGATACTTGTCTATGTTCACAATACCAGACACAAATTCTTTCCTGTTGGGCAGGACTTAAGTCCAATAACAAAGCTGTTGGGTAGCACCAAGGTATGTGTCATTACTGTACCTTTACAGATATCTTGTCACTACTAGTCATCGTGGTTCATACCCATCACAGGTGGGCAGGACTGGTGATTGCTTTTCTCTCTTGGCAGTTTGGATAGCACCTTCTAATACAGTGAGAGTTATTCCTCGGGGAGGAGGCTTCCAGGTCAATTCCCCCAAGTCCTGTGTCCAAAGTTGTAGTGGTGTCAGCAATAGGTACTTACCTTCAAATTCTGTGAGGCAACCAAGGTGACAGCAACAGAGACTAAAACATATTCTTCAGTAGCCCTTTCTTCCTTTAATAGGAAGAAAAATTAGCATCTAGGCACCAAATATTTTTCTCTTTAGACATGTGATTTGTTTTAATACCACAAACATAGGAAAACCTTTTGGAGGTTAAACAAACAAATGAAAACCATCATGTACAATTACTTCCTATGCAGAAAACTTTTCAGTTCTTAAATAGAAGCTGAAAACATGAGAACTTGTTAAACATTGAGTAAAGTGATGTTGACCTGTCCTCTGCATGGCGAAAGGACAGGATGTGTAGAACAAGTGGCCAATGGAAAAATCCCACTATGATGAGTTTCAGTGTGCATTTTAAACAGAGCAGCACATAGGCAGTTGAACAAATAGTCATTTTCATAACATGCCACTGACAGAAATGTTAAAATGTACTTCAGTAGCAGTTGTGAGAAGCTGAATTCAGAGTCCTCACCCATCCACATGCACTAGTTTATTTTGCAACTCAAGATCTTACACTGAATTCTCCTTAAAATTTATTATCCTGGACACTTCTGAATTTCATACCGCAACCAAAAGTGATGGCATCCCTTTTGTTTGCAGCTTGTATGTACATTGTTTTAAAAATTCTTCAGGACAGTTTCAAGGCCACAAATCTATCTGTCTCTGATCCTAGTTCCACAGAAGCAGGCCATCCGTAGTTAACTTAGCAGGAAGCTGGCTACTTTCTCCCTGACCTCACTGAATCTTAGTAGTGCTACCTCAGGGATTGGTTGTTCTGGCCCTATATTTAGTGTTAGTTTTGTCCTTTGAACTTATCTCACACATTGTCAGTTGCCCATGCTTTATCATATTTCCAGGGTGCTGACTTGACCTCTTGTTTAAATACCACTTTCATTCATCATCTGTGCTCACATTAGGTAGCTATAGCAAGGGTCTGCTCTCTGTATTCAGAACTCAAGTTCCCCCTTCCTGCCACTGGTTAATGAGGTAGTATAAGGTGGACTTCAAGTTTAATATAGAGCCAAGGAGGCCTCGGGGTCCCATGCCTCACTTGGGATATTTACTGCCTTTTCAGCTAAGACGTGGTCTAGGAGTAGGAGATTCCGCCTTTAAAGAAGAGCCAAAGCTACAAGTGAACTCAAAGGACAAGAGGGTTGTGTTAGCTATCAGAAAGCAGCAGATAGCTCTAAACAATTACATAGCACATTTGAAATGTAACAAAGCAAAACATTTTAACCACTTTCCTAGGGAAAATCTTTGTATGTACTCTTGTTCTCATTTATTTTTACACAGATAAATAAACTGAATTTAGCATTAATCTATACATCTTTTATTTTTAATATTTGTTATTATTTTTGGTTTTGCTCTGTTACTCAAAAGTACCATTGGAAGCCACATTTGAAACTTAACATAATCCAAGCTCTATATTTGAGAGTGCTTCACCCAGAAAAAAAGCTCCCTGAGAGTTGGGGCTTCAGCTGATTTTTATTATGTTCCCAGTGTTTCCTTATACATTGGAGGTTTGCTGACACACCCCTGATACATACTGCTTTAATAGTTCATATATTTTTCTTTTGTGTTCATTTCTGTTCTTCTGTGTCACAAGCCACAGTGAATGAGCTATTAGACTCCTTGGCCAAGGAAAATGTGATGCATATAAGTTGACTGCGAATCTGAACTGAATTCAGTGGATATAGTCTCTGCTATGATGATGCTTCTTAAGTGGATAATTAGTATGTAAAGTAATTAATGTTATGTTTTCACTCTGAATAGGATAAGGATGGAAAACCACTCCTGCCGAAAGAGCTTAAGGAACAACTTCCTGTAAGCAATGTGCTTTCTCTAAGTCTGTCTTCTGTGGCCCCTGACTGGTAATCTGGGAAGGGAATAGCTTTTCCTTTTAGTGAGCTGGTGGATACTGAAAAAGGAGGTATGCCAGCATTATTTTTGTTGATATGTTTTCTGTTTCTTGCAGCCATTGAGTGATGACTTCCTTCTTGATGCATTGTCTCAGGACTTTTCCAGTCCTGAAAACATACCCTCTCTTGTAAGTATGAAGCACATAGTTAACTATTTTTCTCTTCTTTTCTTGTCCTTCCTTCTGTCCATCCGTCTGTCCTCCCTCTCTCCCTCCCTCCTTCCCTCTCCTTTCTTTCTTTATTTTTTCTTTCTTTCTAGTTTTTTGAGGCAGAGTTTCTTGGAACTGTAATACTGAGCTGTGTCACCCCCTTCCTGAGACATGTCTAAGCAGATTTGAGATAAAGCAATTTACTTTTTAAAAATGTTCTTTTAGAAAATTAACAATCAGGCTGGAGAGATGGCTCAGAGGTTAAGAGCACCAACTGCTCTTCCAGATGTCCTGAGTTCAATTTCCAGTAACCACATGGTAGCTCACAACCATGCGTTATGAGATCTGGTGCCCTCTTCTGATGTGCAGATATACATGGAAACAGAATGTTGTATACATAATAAATAAATAAAATCTTTTAAAAAAAGAAAATTAATAATCAAAGGAAAAATTGTCAGGATGAAAAATATAGTTTATGAAATAGAAATAACAGACTAGAAAATCATGTGGGACACTGTTACAACTCTAGTGGCAAAGAAAGTTTTGTATATTGACTCATAAAATTCAAATAGAATGGAGTAAGTATAAACAGAGACTTTTCTGTCCCACCCGGTCCCAAAGTCAATTCTAAATAATCACTCAGAGGCTTAATAGTAATTACAAACTGCTTGGCCTAATAGCTCAGGCTTATTACTAACTGTCTCTTACATTTAAATTAATCCATTTCTATTAATCTATTTATTGCTGAGTGGCTGTGGCATTACTGGTCTGCTGACATCTTGCTTCTTGAGAAGCTGGCTGCTGTCTCCCTTGATTCTGCCTTTCTTCTCCCTGTATCTCTCCTTGGATTTCCTGCCTGACAAAGCAGCTTCTTTATTAACCAATGGTAATAAAATATATTCACAACATACAGAAGGGCTATCCCACAGCACAAGTAACTACTGCATAGACCATCCTTGTTGGTCATAGTAAAATAGAACAGAAATTATGGGGAAAGTATAATTTTAAAAATGTTCTTTCAATAACACTAAAATCAAGAAGTAAATTCAGAATATACTATTGAAAATAAAACAACATAAAATTAAATTTAAAAGTAGCCAAATCAGAATACATGTATTTTCTGCCATTTATCTTTAAAATAAGACAAGGTAAATTTGATGAATTTCATATCTGTTGAATTTTAATTTTCTAACAGTCATAGTATGGAGAGTAGGAAGATTAAGCCTGTGTGCAACTTAGCACTGAACATGCTTGGAGAGAGCATAGTCCTGTGCTGACTGCCTGGAAGCTGTTCCTTTTGAAAACACAGGCACTTTGTAAAATACTGGCAAGTGTACATGTGTGTCAGAGATCAATTCTGTTTTTATATTTCAAAGACAATCATTACTTGGTTCTTACAAACATCAAATCTTAAAAAGTACTGGTGAGTATAATAGAGGAAAAGGAGAACACAGTAAACTCAAATTTGGTATAAAAATTTGTATAAAATTTGTATAAAAAAGATGTAACAGGCAGTACAAGAGTTAAACTGATTTGGGGAAAAACTGCACAAAAACTTTAAAGAAATTCTAGACAAAAATACATTCATAAAGCCTGAAAAAGGCAAAACTAAAGAAGACATGAGAACTTCTCACATACTACTTCCATTAAGCAGTTAAGGGCTTACTTCTAAATGTCAGTGTCTAGGTAGTACCTCCATGACACAAGTATGTCATCATAAGTTGCTTCTTACAAATACTCCCTCTCACTTTTAAAAATCTTATCAAGTAGCCAGGCGGTGGCAGCATCCACCATTAATCCCAGCACTGGGGAGACAGAGACAGGTATTGAAGTCATTTTTTACCAAAATCATAAATATTCATTGGCACGGAAATTGTCAATATAGCATAGTAATATAGCCACTAGAAATAATCAAATAGTTATATCCATATAAAAGATAAATTTAACATGTGATGGTGCATGCCTCTAATCCCAGTAAGAGGCAGGTGGGTCTCTGAGAGTGCCTGGGCAGTCTTGTGTACATAGTAAGATCCTGTATCAAAAACTGAAACAGGGCTGGAAAGTTTTCTCAGTGGTTATGGTCTCTTAATTACTTGCTCTTACAGAGGTCCCAGGTCTGATTCTCAGTACCTACTTGGCTGCTTACAACTGCCTGTAATTATAGGCCCAAGGGATCTGATGCCTACTTCTTACCTTCACAGAAAAGAAGAATATATTATATATATATATATGGATAAAACACTTATATAAATGAAATATATAAATCTTAAAAACAAAACTATATATTTGAAATTTAACATACATTCATTCTTTAAATAAAAACCTTGAAAGAGTAGCAATCACTTAATGGTATCTGTTTACTGCCAAGAACAAAATATTTAATATAAAATGAGAGACATTTTCTAAAATTATAAAACTTTGATTTCTGTTGAATGTTGTAAGTCATTAACAACAAATAAAAAGTAATTGACAAATATTCAAAAGGAATGCTTGTGTATATTTGTGGGTATGATTGTTTTCAGATAAGACTTATCAATGATAGCATGTGTGCTAGTGTCTTGTTGGGAGCCCATTCCCTATGGAGGAATACTATTGCAGGCCAGATACAGCAAAGAGGGCCTAGGCCCTCCCACAAATGATGTGATGGATTTTGAAGGTTCCCCATGGAGGGCCTCACTATCCCTGAGAAGGAGTTAGGGGGTGGGTTTGGGGGAGTTGGTGGGGAACATGGGAGGATGGGAGGGCAAGGGAATGGGGGGATTGATATGTATATATGAGTAGTAATTAAAGAATTTTTGAAAATCCTTATAAGATTACCTCCAGATTTTAAAAAAAAAACAACAAAATAAAAACCCAAACCAGTTAATATTATTAATAGGAGATTGTAAACATAAAAAATACAAAATAAAAATGAATAGAAAATAAAGGCACAGAAATAGGAATCTATCTAAGATGGGTTCATTGTTCTAGAAGAACAATGGCTAAACCCTTGTATAGTTAATGAATTATTTTGTTATTAAAAGATCCCTAAGTTACCTTCTGCAACTCAATAAAACTATTCTAGAATGTATTTGAGAAGTAGATCTGTAAAAATATAAAAGCATAAGTATTTTTAAATGTTTTAGGTATTATTAGCCCATTAAACATTTGGGCCTTTGATACAGTGATAATTAGTAAAAACAGCATCACTTGTTCCAAGAAGCATTAAAAAAGAAATCAATGGAGATGAGGAATGTAGCATTTTAAAAGGAAACTGAGAATGAATTTTATTTCAAAAACTTTCAAAAATAATTTGTTGTACATACTTCAGAACAAAAAACTACTGGTGGCTTAAGACATGTAGTACAGTATGACAGTGAAGTGAACATATGATATAAAAGTTTAATTATGCCAATAGCAAACAGGCCTACTGTCCATTGTTTCCACAGTATGTATTCTTATTAGACAGTGCCAGTGCTGTGGATTTTTAAAGACCCGTTTATTTTTTTAAATGAAGTAAATATTTCTATATGGTAGAAGAAAAGTATTTTGAAGTTTTTTACCATAAAGAAATGATAAATATTTGCAGAGATAGATTTTAGCTTCATTTAAACCTTACATAATATATAAAGGTATTTTAACATCGTCCTTTACTCCATTCATATGTACAGATTTTTTACTCTTTTGTGTCAGTTAAAAATAAAGAAGTTTAAATGATTTAGTCTCATTTAAACATTACCTAATATACAAAGGTATTTTAACATTGTCCTTTACTCCATTAATATGTTCAGATTTTTTACTCTTTTGTGTCAGTTAAAAATAAAGAAGTTTAAATTTTTCTCTTCCACAGAATTCCTATCTCTCGTCAAGACCATAACACTGAATATCACAATTTTTAAAGATCTAACTTTATCTAACTGGAGCATCGGATATGAGGCTATACTCCTCCTTCTGAACTCTAAAGCCCTCCTCAACTTGGCACTGAACAGAAACTAAGCTGGAAAGATTTTAAGTCCCCACCCCCCAAAAGACCTGTCTATAATTTATAGAGAGCATAATTGCAAAATACTTTTTTAAAACTTCTAATAACCCAGTGTCTAACAAGAAGAACATAAATAAGCTACAGAAATCTGAGTAGATTGTTGGGTGACATTTACAAAAACAAATATGAAATAGAAACAGGAAGTCACAAGTTGAACAGATGTCTCAGTGGTTAAGAGTACATACTGTTCTTCCAGAGGGCCCAAATTCAGTTCCCAGCACCCACAAAAGGTAGCTCACAGCTTTTTCTAACTACCGCTTCAGAGGATCCAGTGCCCTCTTGTTAGCTTCATGGGCAACCGTTCTCACATACACATTCACCTTCACAGGTGCACATACATACACATAATTAGCAGTAAAAATAGGTGTAAGAAAATAGAAATGAGAAGTTGTAAAAATACTATAGAGATGGAAATAGAAAGACAATGCATCCAAAACTGCTGAGAGGCATGAGTAAAGGTGATCGGCAGCATGAAGTGGTTTGAAGAGTTGTATTTTAAGCAATGATATGGTGGTCATAATCTTATATGCAACATGTTAACAGTAACTTTTTAATAAAAGGAATTTGAAGATGCCAAACTTTCTGCTGCCATCTCTGAAGTAGTTTCCAAGACGCCTGCTCCCAACACGAACGCAGCAGCCCCACCACCTGACACTGAGGTAAGCAACATGTCTTCCTTGGGAAATATTCTTAAAATAGCAACGTGAAAGAAAATAAGGCACTGTCTAGCACAAATGAAAACAGGAAAAATTATTGGAAAGACTGGCAATGTCCCCTTGTATTACCGAAAGCCTTAGATTGGTGATTCTGGGAGACAAGTCCTATCTGTGAGGTGACAAGAAATGGCAGGATAATGGCTCTGAGTTTTATGGCTGTACTTTGTCATGTCCTCCCCCATCTGATATCACTTAGAGGAGCCACAAAACCAAAGACATACTCATGCTCTGCTGAGAACTCTGCTTGCTAGCCGTCTGACTATATTAGTGGATTAAAATGGAAATCAATTTGTTTATGGAATCTCTAGGTACTATTTAGGTCACTTATTTGTCTGTAGCCCCTGATATTTCCAACAAAAGACTTCCTTAACCTGGTGGTATTTTCATGAGCAAGCTGTCTAGCGGAGGCAGAAGCTTGCACTGCTCTTTGTCTCTTCCACTGTCAGCATATCCGTCCCCTGACACTGCCTATTCCTGTGACTTACTCCTAGATGTTCATACTGAAATGATGGGGTTCCTGGGTGATTTTCCTGAACAATTTGGCCAACTTGTAACTAATTGAGAATTATTTACCTTTTAGCACAGAGACAAAGACCTCAATGATGCTTTGGATGAACTCTCTGACAGTCTTGGGGAAAGACAGCCTGACCCAGATGAAAACAAACCAGTAGATGACAAAGTAAAGGTAAAAGATAATCCCCTCCCCTCCACAGAGGAGAAAGACACCCTGGCATTGTCTGGAGGTGGGGAGCATCTGGGCCACTCCATCTAGTTGTCCTGTTTTATGGGGTAGCTTGCATTTATTTTTTCTCACTAAAGATTATGTTTGGGGTACAGATGGCATTACAGAAAACATTCCTGTTTCCAGACTTAATTATAAAATGAAAGCACAGCTATGTTTGAAGTTTTTTTTTCCTCTTCCAATATTTTTTTCCTGGTCTTATTTGGGAATCAGGACCTTTACCCAAAGGCATATACTTGAGTGGCTACCCTTTGAATTCATAGTGGCAGAGCTTACACATGTAGCACAGATTTCCCCTGTACCTCTTTTGCAAGTATAACCGAATCTGCATTCAAACTGTATGTGAGAACTTTTACTCAGCAGAAGTATATCTAGAAGGACATAATGAACTAACTGCACTATATTCACTGTGTATAAACATTTATATTTACAACACAATATTTAACAAGCCATTGCAACTGACTTGATCATATATTAGAATCAAGAAATAACTGGAGTTGGGGAGATGGATCAGTGAGTAAAGTGCTTGGCACACAAGCCTAACAAGATGAGTTCAAATCCTTGGTCATGTAGTGTGAGTGTCTATAATTCCAGCTCATACACAGAGATCAGAGGCACAGACAAGAGAGCAGTTGGAAGCTTGTGGACCAGCTAGTCTGGTATGTGCATTGGCAAAGCAACAGACCCTATATGAAACAAAATGGAAATTGAGGAATGACATTCAAGGTTGTTCTCCAACCTCTATACCCATGCTGTGGCGTGCACACATGCACACACACACTCTCACACACACACACAAATCATGCACACGAGAATAATAGAAGAAATAAGAGAAGTAACTTTCTGAGCATCTGAAGCAATGTTGAAAAGATGCAGGACATTGTAATTGTCATTCTATCATCATTGTGTAACTATTGAGATTAACTTAACCTATATTTTTAAAACTAAATTGTAATGCAGCACAGAGATTAATCTGTACTCCACAGAATCTGTGATCAAGACCAGGGAACCTCATAGGGAGGGGTACCAGGATGTCCATGGCTTGCTCAGCAGCGGGTATGCTCAGGTGTCAGTGTCTTCTGTCTTGCCCCTTTGCAGTGTTTTAAAATGGAATTACAAATATTATCTCGATGTGTGCCAAGGCATGGAGACCTGGCTTTTAATATGAAAAGCAAAATCTAATCAGAAAAAAACCATTTCATTCCATTGGGCTTCTAGCTACCAATAAAGTTTCTGAGAGTAACTATTTGATCCTTTCATTTGAAAATTCAGATATGGGCTGACACATAGAAAATAGGTATTCACATTTTCAGCAGCTCTCTGCTTACCATCCATTTTGTTGCTCTGTTTCTTATGTTTTGTTTCAGGAAAATACAGTAACTGTAGTGTATTTTGTAAGTGAAGAAGGAAATGAACATCCTTTTATTTCTTCAATGTTTATAGGAAAAAGTTAAAGCAGAACATAGTGAAAAACTGGGAGAAAGAGAAGACACCATCCCACCTGACTATAGGCATCTTCTGGACGATGACGGGCAGGTAAACTAAGGCACACAGTCTATTTTAGGTCACTGCTCTAACTTGTCTGGAAGTGAATGGAAACTTCACTCTTGCAGTGCATAAAAACACATCATGACAGTACTTTTAATGTCCCCCTAGAGGTGACAAGTAGGGTTTCTACCCCTCTTCTTGAGATAGTCTTATTACTCATGTTCTGAGTCCTGCTGTAAAAACACCACTGAGTAATGCTTACTGATTCTTTATAATTATCCCAAGAAATATATAGTTAATTTTTCAAGAAGTTTCTAAAAAATGACTGAAGCAATGAGATGTCACAGTAAGCAGTCTGTGTGTAAAGAGACCAGATGAGGTGCAGTGGTGGAAAAAACTGAGAGGGCAAATAAACAAGACTGCCCATCTCCCTTCTCCCACAATAATGCAGTGCCTGGGGACAGATAAAACCTCTCTGTAGTCACCCATCTGTTTCCCCATTACACAGTCCCTAAATTTTTGTTTCCTTAAGCCACAATGATTGCCTCCCCCTTTCTGTTTGGGGATGGATGAGTCATCCTTCCCAAGCCTGTTATCAATGGAGCAAGAAGTCCAAGTTCCATCTGTATACTCTGAAGCCTTCAGTGGGGAAGCCCCTCCCCGACCAAAGTCTCAGTGCCTGCTGGAATAGGAGCTGTTCATTTTACTTACATTAAGTATTCCTGGCAATTCTGTATCCTGCTATTATTCACCATCCCTCATGTTGATATTGCCACATCATCTTGCTTGCCATCATTGGAGGTGTTTCATTTAGCCCTTGCCTTAAGATGGATAAAAGCCCTATAAGTTAGTGGTACATGTAATTCCTGTCTGAAGATAATCTTTGGAGTTGGCTTATACATATATGTGGTTAAACAAACATCTACCTTGTTTTTAAGGGTAAACCAGAGAAGCCACCTACAAAGAAATCAAAGGTAAATACCATAATGTATACTTCCATTGTTCTTAGTATAGATGTAGCCTTCTTTTAAACTTTAAAGAACTAAAATTTGTCAGATATTTTTGTTCTGTGCCAATGTGTGCAGATATGCAATTATATTACTAACTCTAATTTATTTCTCACAAGAGCCTTTTAAAAACATTACCAGATTTCTGAGTGAGAAAACGTTTAGTAAAGAGTGTAAGATTAACCAAGCATGGTGATGCATGCCTTTAACCCCAACGTTTTTAAGGGAAACAGAAAAATAAGAAGTTCACAGTTACGTAGTGAATTTGAGATTGGTTTAGGCTACATGAGACTGTCCCCTAACCCCCAAAATGAAAGAATATAAGAAAATGAAAATGCTCAGGTTTTCCTGCCTTATGTATCCTTTACATAGTATAGTCTTTTTAGGAAAACAAATGCCAGTGAGCGTTTCTTGTTAAGCATATCTTACTGTTAATTGTGTGAGATGGTTATCTCCATGTGTTTCTGCTAACATCATAGAAGCCTGATCATGACCAGGACCCCATTGATGCCCTCTCACAAGATTTGGACAGCTGCCCCTCAACTACAGAGAACTCACAGCATACAGGAAAGGTACTATGCTTTTTCATACTGATTTCTTTGAACTACACATGAGCATGTATATACACATCTACGCAATTTTCACAGTGTAGAATGAATAGAATAATGTTATAGAAGAGTTACAATTCTACTGCCTACAGCACTGTTATTTGGTATATTTCCTTGCCTTTGTCAGTAAACATTTTTACAAAATTGATAGCATTTCCTATAGGTTCTGCATGTGGCCTGTAACCTCCAAAGACAACATTTTTGTTCGTCACATGGTTTTGTGAGTGACAATAAGTCTGTGCTCATTTCTTATGACAGTCTTTGACCGCCTAATCCTTCTTCTGCTCATTTGTTCTCTGGAGTTTCCTCCTGTCCCATCCTGGTGCAGCTGTCTGACTCAGACTCTGCAGGACCACTTCTGGTCTTTGTGCCCTCTCAGGCTATCCCAGCAGCCTTTGCACACTCTCTCCTTGCATATGGTCACCTAGCACCAGCTACCTCTTTCCCCTTGAGCTGGGCACTGCATACAGTAGTTGTGTTGTGCCAGGTTCGTAGAGCCTAGAGACTAACCCAAGGAGTTGACACTCTGATGCAAAAGCAAAAGGTTTCATTTTATTTCAAGCTGGCCAGCTAGGATCTCACTGCATGGCAAATGAGATGCCAACCAGCCAAAAAGAGAAGCTTTTAAAAGGGCAGATCATAAGGTTGAAGGCTACAAATTTCAGAGTTTCCATGGTTACTTAAGGTCATACAAAATACAGAGTAAAGCAGTAGCTATATATTTTAAGTGAGATACATTCAGGCATGGGCTTGCAGGGTTACAGGGTTACAGGGTCTGTCAGTTATTCCTTGGGCTGGGAGGATCTTTAAGACCAGCAATTAGCAAAGGAATGTTAACAGGAGTGGTGGACAGTTGCTTCCCCTTGTCTGAGAGCAGGGGATTAGGCACCAGCCATGGCACTCCTGATTTAAGGAGTTAAATTTTCCTTTACCATTAGAAGTTCCCTTTTCAGGGCCTAAGTTTTTAAACTTTTATTAATTTTAATTTTTGCTCCCTCAGTTGTATATTTGATTTCTATGCCCAGATTATCAGGGTGCTTATATTTAATAACTGCTCAAAGCATGTAATTTGAACTGAGTAAAAAACTAAACCCTTTGTTTTGTTCCATGAATGTATGTTAGTGAATGAATGAAAACAACTGTGTAATTCAGCAGTTGAGGTGCACTTAACCTATAGAACACATCTTGTAAGTCACACAAAAGGAAGTGTGGGTATTGCAGTCTGTTTGCTGTTGTTTTGGCTGCTTTTCAACACAGCTTGGCATCATGCCCTCCACACCAAGTGATTGAATTTACAGACTCCCTCATCCTCCTGCCTCTCTTCTGGAAATGCCTAACTGATGTTTCTGTCTCCTTTCCTTTGCTTTCCTCTATTTTTCCTTGTCTACCTTTATTTTCCCATTCCTTTCCTCTACTCCCCTGTTTTCTCTCCCCTCCATTCAAATCTATTCCTTCCTTTGTTTCCACTTTTTTGGTAAATGTACTGTGCTTTTGTATGCAAGCAGTACAGCTTTCTGTAACAGTTTCTATTGTTAGATTCATTTCTCTGCAACACTGAAAACAGGAGTTTGTTTTGTTGTTACTTTCCTCCATGGCACATAAAAGTCAACCTAAGTAAAGAAAAGCTCTGAATTTTTTATAGCCTCCGGTTTTCTAAAATAAAATTGTAGGTATATATTTGGGATTGATATGAAATAATGGGATATATTAAGCACCAGTGTCACCCACGGTTCTCTCTTATTAGCCTTTTTTATGTACTGACTAAAATATGGGTATATTCAGAGTTATTTCAAAGATTAGTACCAAGCTACACATTTTTATTCAGTTAAGTTGGGGTCATGCAGGCTGTTAGCAAGAATAGTCTGGATTCATCTGGTGACCAGTGTCTCCATAGATTGATGATGGCAGTGGCCTCATTACATTTCCATTGCTTTAGGAGAAGAGCAAGAAGATGGGTTCAAATTCCAAAGCACCCAAGAATGGAGTGAAAACAAAGGATTCCTCCAAGGTAAACATGGCCATAAACATACCATTGTTAGTTTAACACTTGCAAGGGATTAAGATTTATCTGTTGATGATTTAGCTTGTTATTGTAAGCTGTTTAGAGCGGAAAGACTTTTAAGCCATAGCTATCCCCTAGCATGCCTTACTAAAATGAATAGACAGACAGACAAAAGATAGATAGATAGATAGATAGATAGATAGATAGATAGATAGATAGATATGCCCCACTTGGGGGATGGAGTAATGGCAGAGCTGTAAAAAGCACTGGCTGCTCTTTAGGGGATCTGGATTTGGTTCGCAACACCTACAAGTGGCAAACAACCATCTGTAACTACTGTTAGAGGGGATAGGATGCCCTTTTCCGCCCTCTGGGGGCACTAGGCATGTACACAGATATACATGCAAGCAAAATACCAGTACACATAAAATTAAAAAAAAAAAGAAGATTCTGGAAGTTACTTAAGTTGAAGCTTTAAAGATAGGGATACATATTGTATATATGTATATGTAATGTTTTTACGTAACTTGTGCTTTGAAAATATAAATGAATTGTGTTCTTTACACAATTCAAGTGGCATTTCATTCTTGCTTTATTACAGTACCACCAGAGCATGTGATTTACATAGATTTTATAACATGGAAGTTATTCTAGTTGGATTTCTGGTGTTATAATAAAACATTCTAACCAAAAGTACTTTAATGGAGAAAAGGGCTTATTTGGTTTACACTTACAGATCACATCCAATCATTGAGAAAAGTCAAGAACTCAAGCAGAAACCATGGAAATAAGGCTGCTTGCTAGCTCTCTCACAGATCCATGCTTAGCCAGCTGCCTTATATAAGCCAGGCCCACTTAGTAGGGATTAATGCTGCTCATAATGGACTTGGCCCTCTTACATCAATTACCAGTCAAGACAGTCCTCCACTGACATGCCCACAGAGCAGTCTGAACTGAACAATCTCTCAGCTGACAATCCCTTCTCATGTGCTTAAGTTGACAGAGCTCTAACTAGGACAGAAGGTAATTTATAAAGTTAAGGAAGATAATAGAGTTTTTACAGTTCAATATATTAGTTGGACATTCTTTGAGACGGATTAATAAGTAATAAGACAATTGATGTAATGACCAGCATTATGTCACTGTATACTTGAGATAATTAAGTTACAAAGAGAGATTGACTCTGGTCCATGGTTTTAGGGGCTCCATCTTACAATTGATTATCATATTGTTTATTCCTCTTGTGAGGCAGTGCTTTATAATAGAAATCTGTTGTGGGGGCAAACTACTTACCTCATAAGTCAGAAAATACAGAAGAGATGGGGTACCACAACACTGAGTGAGATAGGGCACACCCCCAATGGCCTAAGGACGTCATATAAGACCCTGCTTATAAAAGTCTATAGCACCCTGAGTCCAAGAATTTTACACATGGCTCTTTGAGGGGCATTCAATATCCAATTCATATAGCAATACATAACTTGTTGTGCAAAGTAGAATGAAAACTAATGGGTAGAAGTTATAGGCTCAAGCCAACTGTTGAGAACTGGGCATATGTAGCACAATAGTTGGATACTTCCTGTCACTAAAATTCCTCAAGCTGTAGTCAGAATGGATATTGGCTCAGATAACTCTTAAGTTCCTTCCAATTCTATGTATGTCTTAAATAACTACAGTTTTCTGACCATAATGAGAAATTAAAGACCCTAATAGTCTAATTGCATCAACACTACTTTTTGCCTTTTAGTTTTGAGATTGTAATTAATCATTTCCCCCTTCCCTTTCCTTCCTCCAAACTCTCTGATATAACCCTCCTTGCTCTCTTTCAAATTCATGGCCTTTTTGTTTTTTCATTGATTGCATCATCATTTCTTAAGAACAAGCTAATGTAGTCTTCTTGTAATTGATTTCATCACAGGTTACATTATGTCTCAAATAGGTTAAATTACTAATCTGTTATCATGTAATTATAATTATAAAAGTGCCCAATCAACCCACTTAAAGAAAGTAGAAAATATAATTGCCCTACACAGTGGAGATGAGTCAGCCAGCTCCTTCCCAGTGCAGAAAAGGATGGGGTCATTGGGGGATGGTGAAACACTGTCCAATTCCAGAAACACTTATGCATTTGAAAGTTTCTCAAGGGGCCAATAAAAAAAAGTTTAGAGTGCAATATTTATGATGAATTATGGCTATTATAGCTTATAACTTAAAAACAGAGTAGAAAGGGCAGAGTATGTTTGTGTCAAATGAAGGAAAACATAGACTAGACTATTACATTTCCCTACGTCTGACCCCACCCCCTTTATCTTCTGTCTGTTTAACCCCCAGGAGCCAGTTTTTCTCATTAAACTCTCCTGATGAAACAGGGACAGTTCTAATTTAGAAATGAAAGCACTGACTCTAGCTTTGATTCCCCCTTAGAAGTCAGAGGAAGCGTCCAATCCAAAGGCTGACAAAAATGAAAGCTAAGTTACACATTTGGTAAGTTGAGTTTTCACTGTAAATAGCAATAATGGTCCCTTTTAGCAGTCTGCCTTATGGGAAGAGATCGAAGTTTACCTCTTCAGTATTTCATACTTGTTATACAGGACTACTCTCAGGAAACACAAGTTGCAAAGTTCAGAGCATTCCCTTCTCTAAAAAGCACAAAAGTGATTATTGTGCTATTAGAATATATATGACTAAGAACTCTTTAAGGAGCAGGGAAGTGGTGGTGCACGCCTTTAGTCCCAGCACTGAGGAGGCAGAGACAGGTGGATCTTTGTAAATTCAAGGCCAGATTGGATTACAGAGTGAGTCCAAGATAGCCAGGGCTACACAGAGAAAAACTGCCTTGGCAAAACAAAAAACAAAAACAGATAGACAAACAAACAAAAACTTTAAAATATTCAGACTTTTAAAGAAAACCATATACCAGAATCTAATGAAATCTTTGAAATACAGATGATTATACAGGCTTTTGTTGCAAAACAAATTAACATAATTTGTAGCAAAATGGCATTAATTGATATCTGAAATACCAGTCATGCTGAGTGGTGGAAATCATAGTTTGGGAACAGAGGCAGTTTAACTTTTAATCTTGTTGATTTGTCTCAGTTTGGAAAGAACAGTGATTGATTCTGGCCTATCACTCAATAGGTGGGTTTTGGCCTTCCTACAAATCATAAAATGAAACTACTTGCTCAACAGGCCTAAAAATATTCAAACAGGACTGGCCTGGTGACTCAGCAGGTGAAGATGCTCAGCACCAAGCCTGACCACCCAAGTTCCATCCTTGGGACCCAAGTGGTAGATCCACAAAAGTTGCCCTCTGACTCCCACATGCACACTGTGGCATACACACCCTAAATGAAAACGTAAAGTGGGAATCTTTCAGAAGAAAACTGTGCGATAAATCAGCCCAAGCTCTTTTACCATGATCTACTTCATTACTTGTGGAGGAATCAGCTAGAACTACTCCATATTTTCTAAGAGTTAAGTGATCGTGTTACATTAATAACCCATTCATATTTCCTTGTATTTTCAGGGTATCTGAATAGAAATTCTTCAGCTGATGGGTGGTGACTTTTGAAGAACAACGGCTTTGGTGACAATTTTTCTGGGTGGTTTCTAGACAATGCTATTTGTTATGTCTTTTGACATCTTAAACATTGGTTTGTTGTCTTTTCCAAAAACAAAATGAATTTGTCTGGTTCGCCTGTGTTACTGTATTGAGTATGGATAAAGTTCAAAGATCTTTAATTGCCTTTAAGTGGGAGAAGAAAGCTTTATATTTGTAAGAGATATATTTGATAGTTTCTTAAAACACTCACACACACACACACACACACACACAAAAAAAAAAAGAGAAAACCTTCGCAAACTTTTGCACATTATAAATAGTGCCTGTAAATCCCAGTAGTATTTTTGGTTTGCACTTAATTTTTTAGCATTTGAAAAATAATGCACTCACCTTTCGTCAGTATTCTGATTTCTTATTACCTCTTTTCCTCTTGGGCTTTTGAATTGTATTTGATATATCTTCGGGTTTATGTTGATAAGTCAAATATAAAATATTGTACATTGGGCACGTAACTCCTTTGGGGCTGCTAGTAATAAATTAATGATAAATAACCTGGGCAAACCAGGGAGCACCAGTCTCCTTTCGTACCTGATCTCTCCTTTACTAAAAGTGAGGACTTCTACTTCTGGTCAGAGACGACACAACTGAGAGGTGATCTAAGTCAGCAGAAGAGCAAAGCCATAGGGTAGAGACATCACTGCACACCAAGTTTCAACAATAAAGTTGGAATTCTTAGAATACTCAAACGCCTTGAAGTATACTAATTTACTATGGCATTAAACTATGGTTTCCACACTCTACAACCTCAGATTGAAATTATTTGCTTAGAGCCATTTGCTAAATTGTCTTTATGTCTTCTATGCAAAGCAGGTTAAGGTACCCTAACATCTTTGAATGGTATCTCAAATTTTTCTGAGCACTGCACTGGTATCATTGATGGAATTTTGATAAACAGTTCCATCTATACTTCCTGGCACTGAATGCTGGAAAAGATTTCAGGTATTTATAAACTAGACTTCAACTTTCTTGTTTCCACAGATCACAGCCTCCTTTACTATCAATGCAACGATTTTATTAGGATTGAATTAACTTTACTAACATCACCTAGGGGCAGGCAAGACCAACCAAAAGTAATAACACTCATAATGAACATGATATTTGTTAACCATCTCCAAAAGTAGTCTCTACAAATCATTCATGGACCTTTTAAATGTCAAATTCTACCCATGAAATTGTCGAATTCCCAGTCCCATAAAAAGGGTGGTCACTGTTCTATTTTCAAGGCACCAACAAGAAAAGAATGTATTCCCTGAGAAATTTGAACCCATTGGTGTCTAATACTGGGATACAGTAAGGTGTTAGCTCTTTTTGTTTGTAAAAAATATGCTGAAACCTTTGACTTTGATAAATATACCTCAAAGACTATGGCTGTAGTATACAAACATCCATGCACATATAGGAATATTTTTAAGTGATGTAACAAAATACATAAATTTAAAAGTGCCTATAGAATCACATGTAAAGGTGAGGTACCTAAAATATTTTTTTTTAATTAGAAATATCCTAAAAACTTGAGTGTTTGCTGATAACTCACAGAGACTTGTATGAGCCATGGGATCTAAAAGAGTCTTTTTTTATGAATTTTCAAGACTGGCTTTCTCTGTGTAACAGTCCTAGCTGTTCTGGAACCTACTTTGTAGACCAGGCTGGCCTGGAACTCACAGAGATCCACCTGCCTCTGCCTCCCGAGTGCTGAGATTAAAGGGGTATGCCACCAATGCCTGTCCCTTTTATTAGTCTTTTTTACCTTTTGCTTTTTTAACCCATCTAGTGAAGACAAAACAATTGCAGCTATCTTCTTAGAAATAAAGAATAAATGGATTTTATTTCCAACAAGTTGCTGCGCATGTAATATTTTACATTTAGAAAATGGGATTTTCCAAAAGTGAAAGTGACCAAAGCAAAAAGTCAGTTTTTGTGTATCATTAATCAAGATGTAAAATGCAATTAAAGGAAAATATTTTACATGAAAATCTTGGCTGTGTGTTCTTTTGCAGATTTTGTGGGAAAAAATTACCAATGAATTATTTTTATCTTATTCTCAAGCCATCACCATGCAGTCAATATAAAAAATAGAATTGTAGCCGGGTATTGGTGGCACACACCTTTAATCCCAACACTCAGGAGGCAGAAGCAGGCACATCTCTGTGAGTTCAAGGCCAGCCTGGTCTCCAGAGCGAGTGCCAGGATAGGCTCCAAAGCTACACAGAGAAACCCTGTCTCAAAAAACCAAAAAAAAAAAAAAAATAGAATTGTAAATGTAATTGGTAATTGTTGTGGTTTGGATATGAAGTATCCCTTGAGCAGGTTCACATGTTGATGTTTTAGTTGGAGGAAGCAGGTCCAATCTGTGGGACTATGGCTTTGACAGTGTGCTGTGACACAGTACACTGTGTCCCCCAGACTACTCTCTGACCCTTACATTTTGTGGCCACTACTGGATAAGCATTTTTCCCTGTTAACTCTTATGATCATGATAATGCTTCACCATGGGCTTGAACAACAGAGCCAGCAAACCACACACTGAGAGCACTGAACCAAAATCTTTCCTTGTTTAAGCTGACTACCTCAGATATTTTGTTAGAGCGATGACTATATGATACTTGAGCCCCCACCTCCACAGTCCCTCTATTCCATAGTGCATTACAGCACTGTATTTTGACATCATTCTTATCAGTCACATTCATTTATCCTGAAATTTATGCCATACATCTAAAAATTCTTATGTAAGACTTAAAGAATTCTTTCCTTATACTAATATAAATGCATTATTCATATTATGCTTTATTGATGACTCCTCAATATATTTGAAGGAAGTGCCAATAGGAATTATTCAGAAATTTAAAGCACCATTCCCTACCGACGGGTCAGTGGCTCTCCAGTATATCTTAAAATGAAGAGTTTTTCTTATACAGACTGGATGCACTCAGTGTTTTTAGAGGTTCCAGAGGAAATAGGTGGCTATCATATTTGACTCACCTGAGGAAGGTTCTAGATGCACATTTTTTTTTATTTACAAAAGTTCAAGTAGGGTGTGCAAAAATGACCAGTACTACTATGACTGGTATCATAAGGTTCCCACTGTCATCCCTTGCCATGGATGGATGAGGAAGAAGCAGTTACTAGAGACAAGAAATAGAAAAGGACTGTGAAAAAGGCTACCTCTCAAGTGTAAGACTTGTGGTTAAGACCTGCCAGAGGTAAACACAGGGAAAAAAAAATGCCTCTTCCCACTCCCTTCTGGATCCCAACTCCAAACTCCTAGAGTTGTCAGTTAGTAAAAACCCAGGGGGGGAAGACATCTGGTTAACTGAATCTTGAAAGGCAGCAGCCATACATGAAGCTAGGAAGGCAGGATGGCCAGTCAACTTAGAGGGGCAATAGGAGTGATGCCCCACAGTCGTTTCCCAGTGTGGCTAATGATCCAAGCATTCTCTACACATGTGCCTCGCTCTCCACAATCTTGCAGAGACACTGATGAATGACTGACACAGGAGGCACGGGGTTTGAGAGCTGCAGGGCTGAAGCAATGCTGTATGAAATGAAAAGAAGCCCCTCAGCTTTTCTGTGGCAAGGAGCTGGGTACTTGGCTTTACACTGCAGGGCTACACCTGTTAGCCAGACCCATGGCAGCAACACACACTGAAGACAATCTTTTCTCAGACATGATCAAGTGCAATGAAATAAGAAAATATCTTCAGTGAGATACAAAACCACCATCTTTAGTTTGAAAATACTCAAATTGAACAAAATTTTGCTGATTGTAAATCACAGGAACTTGGCAAGAAACAAATTGTCATATTTCCAGCTTTTCTTTTTGCAGCCATAATCGGATTTTTTCGAAATTCTTCTCCATCCATCGTATGTTTTCCTCAATGGCCTCAATGGTTTGTTGAACACATCGGAGCTGAGAGCCATTTTCTTTCAAGGAGCTAAAGAATCCTTTTACCTTGGGAGGAAAAAGGTGAATTTTCAAAGAATTATTTTGTTACATTTAAGCAAATGGTTATTTAAGGCCAATTAAAAGTCATGCCAGAAGGCCAGCATTTGCTAACATTCTATATAGAAAGGTGTCCAAGGGATCTGGATATGATTATATGTAACTAAAGTTTGAGCTATACAACATGAGCTCATGACACATGGTATTAGGTACTTCTGGATTTTTCTATAGCTCTTTTATTTATTCACGTTGCCAGACTTTAAAACGCTTTGTGATTTAGTCATTTCATAACTAAAGTTTAATTGAGTGTGTCTATTTAATATGGATTCTATTATATATACAGACATGCAGACTTAAGCTTTTAAATAGGATATCTGAAAAGAAGAATGTACAGAGTATCTTCTTTGCCAATCCCAAACCTTGACAAGATTTTTATCTGAATTCACAATTCCTGCTTTATTCCTTCCAGATACAATCTGGAAGAGTTTCCCACAGTTTTGGAGAGATAAGAAACTGAATCGCTCTCTTCAAAATGTATCTTTATTCTTGTTGCTTTCCTGGGTATCTGAATCCTTAAGCTCAAATGATGGAGAGTCTGCCTTTGACAAAGCACTGAAAATTGTAGTATTTCCTTTCACCTTCATGAGCTCTTAACAATAACCCATAAATTTTACAGCATCAATCCATCTTTTTTGTAGTCAGAAAGCAAGTATAGGCCAATATGTATTATATATTTAGCATGAATTCCAGACAGCTAATTCCTCAAATATTCATACTATAATACCATGTTATGAATTTGCCAGCAGTAGGTGGAAGAGTGGCTTTTAAAAAGATAGAGTTCCAGTGAGAAATGATGCAGTTGTCCTAAAATTACTTGAGAGTCCAATTGCTGGGGGAAGAGAGGAGACATTCCCTCTCCCTGCTCAACCCTGTGCTTTAGCTCAGTCTACTTACTGATTCCTCATCACTTTGGGCACTCATCAACAAGACATCAATAGTTTTGTTTCACTTATCATCTAAAATATTTCATTTATCCTTAAGGAGCCCATTGTGATTTCATGGCTGAAATGAGGACTTCTACACAAGCTCTAGCAAAGCCAGCTCTTAACACTTCCCCTGGTCCCAGATTCTATCTTTTGCCTGAGTACCTCACATGTGCCTCTCTGCTTAGAAGGGTAGAAGAACATATCCTTTTGTAGATTTATGTATGTGTCTCTTAGTCCCTCTTACTACACAGTTTCATACCAATATTTTTGCCTGACTACTAGGAAGCTCTGTCATAACAAATGTCATTGCAATAAGTACCTTCAATGTAAGTCCCTCATATAGTTATCTCCCAGCCATATCTTCTATGCAGCTTTTCATTATTTAACATTTATTTTACAGATAGATCTTATAGATGCACAAAATTCTTTTGGGAAATATATGATACTGTAAGTGAGAACAGAAAGATGACTGAATCCTGAAGTTCATGAATCCTCTCTGCCTCTTTCACAGTAGCTGGTCACCACATCAGCCATTGCACCTCTAGGATTCACTTGTAACTTCTTTAAATGAGGGCCACTTGTGTTGAGGCTTTTATTTTTTTTTAAGCTGAAAGTTTTTGTTTTTGTTTTTTATTTTATTTTGAAACAAGGTGTCACTATGTAATCCTGACTAGCCTGGAATTTGCTTTGTAGACCAGGCTGGCTTTTAACTCAATCTGCCTGCTGCTGCTTCTAGATTGCTTGGATTAAAAGCATATGCCATTCCACCTGGTAAAGTCCAAGTTTTTAACTGCAAGAGCAAAGCTTGTCTCATGAGATGCATATTCATTGAAACTCAAAAATTTCATCAAATGACAAGACTCATTCTCAAAAGTCCACAACTTTTGTTCCTTCTCTTCCATAATAGCTTATTGACACACATATGCCCCTTTACCTCTTCCAGACGTGCTCTGGTGGAAAACTGGTCTGTTGTTCCCAGTACCATGTAAGATATGGTCGTTGAGCCAAGTTCAAACCTAGAAAATGACAAAAGGTGTCCATTCAATTTACATTTTGTGTCTTATATATCCTATAGCATTTAAACAATCCATTTGTAAAATATAATCCATGCCAAGAGCTAATTAAAAGATTAAGAACCTTAAAGAAATGATAGTTCTAGGTAGTGCTGGAAGATTTAGGGGAAAGCTACACTGACCTTGGAGGAGGGAGGTTTCAGGCAAGCCAAAGAGTATAAGAAAAAGTAGCTGGGGTGGAAAGTATTACTATTCAGATGCATGGGTTTTACATCACATAAGGAGATTTTAATTTGAAAAGTTATCTTCAACCAAAGATACTCCTTCATATAAACAGCAAACGTTAAACATACACAGGGAGCTGGGTGGGTGAAAGAAAGCAGCAAGTCCCAGCACAATTTTTGACACTACTTACTTTTGTACAAGTTTATTCCAATTTTCCCTCAGAAACTTCCAGGCCAATGGATAGCCCACTGGATTCCTGCCAATTAGTATGAGAATATGTGGAAATTCCTGAGTTTTTATTGTATCTCCCTTGAAACTTTCGTCTAGAAGCCTGAAATGAATAAAAAAGGAACTATAAGTGATGGAGGAATTACAAACATGTTCAATAAAATAACATAAAAAATCTGTTTGCCAATAATAATATCCCAAAAGGTAAATTGGTAGAGTTTTGGTAAACCCATTATAGCAACATGATTAATAGCTAACATTTAGATAGTGTTTAAAAGGCCTATACGATATAGTATCTCATTTCCTCAAAACAATTTCTAGAAGTATCCCTAAATATTTCAAGTATATTATTGCTGTAAAGACACACAATACATACTCCTTAAATATCTTCCCAATACTTGGTTCTAATTACTTGGCATCCTTAGTTAGTGTGTACCCACTTGAACAGTTTCCAACAGAATAAATGATTCTGGGATATTTATTAATAATTCTGGCAAAAACATGTGCCAGAATGATCTGTATCATTCAGTTTCCCTTGGCCATGTGGACATCAATGCATGACTCACCACTGAAGCTTTTCT